TTTTTGATATGTGCTTGATGTCGGTGGTTTCTCTTGACAAAACGGTCTCTTGGCATGATTTGCAATGGCTAATCAATTTTGCTCAAATCTTGCATGCTGAGAGAGGAAGTACGTTCGTGCATCCTTCATTTTCTTCTTAATTATTCCATGGTTTGGACTGCTTGGACCTCAGCTTGGAAGATAGTTGGAACTAGTCCTAGGGGTTTTCTAATGTTCCGCCATTCCCATGGATTTCATGACAATAAATGTAATTAACCACAAAAGAAAAAGCAAGCTGATTGAGTAGAACAAATCTATAGTTGAGATCAATAGCTTAGAACTTTTTAAACGTTATAACTTAATTCATTTTACGTTTTCCTAGTCAATTGATTAAGTTACTTCTTTCAATCAATTAATTATTCTTTGTAAGGTTTTGGTTGAGATAATTGGATAATTGAAAATGGCAAAAAGGAGAGACAATTCGAACGGTTTTAGGCTGAGATGGAAGTTTGTGTTCGAGAGGATCGAAATCATGATAGCTCAAGTGGTAGAGTAGCGGCATATCTAGCCGAAGGTCGTGGGTTCGAATCCTGCTCATGACATTGACTTTTTTATCTCAACCAAGACCTTACATAAAAAGAATAATTAATTGAAAGTTGAAAGCTCGGCTGATACATAGAAATAGGACTTTTCTACTGTGCCGAACTCTGGGGACTATGATATTTAAATAAATATTGAAAAAACGTACTTAAACTTTCTTAAAAGATTACTTAGCTTAAGTAATAATACCCCCCTCTTGGATAATCAAAACAGAATATAGCTTTTTCCGTCAAATTAAAATTTTTTAAACTTCAAATTAAACATTTTTAATTTCAAATTTACCCTTTTTAATTTCTAATTAACCTTTTTAACTTCAAATTAATATTTTTTAATTTCAAATTAACATTAATTAATATTAAATTAATTGATTATTAATAATAAAGTGGGGAGTTTATGGGCCGACAAAAAGCTGAGGTCATCGCCGGCCCTCTGCGTGTTTTCCTTCTTTTTCTCTTCTTTCGCGCGCGTATTTTGTTTTAAACTGCAGCCATTTGACCGTCTCGTTTGTATCTCAGGTTGTCAAATACAGAATAGAAACAAAACATACCATACATACATTTATGTGTATCATCACCACAAACATAGAAGTCTGGTCACATTCACCCTCCGACCCAGAGTACACTATATTCTGAAGGGGCGGTTGAACCCACTCCATTCTCGCTAATAACTTACTTTTACTCTCCAGACGTCTCACACTCACCCCAGCGTATTCGATATTCCTCGGGGCGGGTTTAAACAACCTCTTCCTTTCACGCTAATAAATTATATTCATTCCAATAAATCAACATAAAGTCAACACAAACACACATAGACACTATATACTTTTAAAAATTCCTATAGCCCTGAGGTACCCGAACAGCCATCTTTGCCCGCTGCCGTGCCCGAAGATTTCGCATAGGTCCGATGATATGCTAAAATATTGTCTATATGCCTTCTACAATTGAAAAGGTGCTCGGCCGTTATTCTATCCTTGCATAAAAGGCACCTAGTCACCTACGCGGTCGCTTTCCAGCCAGAAGGCGCCCGTTCGTTGTTCTTGTATGACTTATGCGTAGTCTTGTCAGTATAGTCTTTTCCCTTTTCGAACGGTTCTCCGTGCATCTGGGACCGACGTCTTTCTTACGCTGCCAGTTTAGCAGAGTTATTTCTATTTCTATGATCCCAGTGGTTTTTTCCATTCCCTTTTTACGGTATTTGAAATTAATAGTTTTAGATCCGCTGGGCGTGCACGTTGGGAAGTGTCGTGGGATTTCCAGCGGCTTCTTTGGCCGCCCTATCCGCTTCTCCGTTCCCTGCTATCCCTATTAATTGATTAATAACATAATAATAACGTTATTAATTAATAAAGTAATAAAGCAGCTAAACATCTTGTCCTATGATAATCACGCACATGCATCTGATAAAAAAATCCAGAGCAGTGTGCGAGGTAGTAAGAATCGTCTGGCGGTAACCAAAGATTTTTCACCTAAAGAAATGTTGATAAATGGATCCTTGGTTAGTTAAACGGAAATTATATGTGTCGCTTTTAATGCACATTTTACTCATTTGGATAAACCATCTATTCCTGTTATATCAAAAAATGAACGTACCCTAACAAACATTGCTAATTCTTTCCCTGCACTGAACTTAAGATTGATGATATTATTGATTCTCCTAAAAACTGGGCTTTCACCTGGCCAGTATGTTTTAATAGATTTTTCCTGAAACAATGTGCTCCTTACTTGACTAAATGTTTATATGTGATTGTTTGTTTGAATCTGGCGTCTACCCAGTAAACCTAAAGCAGCTAAGATGATGCCTGTTCAAAAAAAGGGTGGCAGGCATGATATGCATAATTGCAGGCCTATTGACCTGTTATCTATTTTTAATAAAGTCATTCAGAAATTAACACATAACCGCCTAATAGACTACATTGAAAGGTATGATTTATTTTCAAAATTTCAGTTTCTGTTCAGAAAATTGCTGTCTACCGAAGATGCCCTCTATTACATATCTGAAAAAATAATGGTTTCACAAATGAAAAATCTTTCAATAGTGGGTACCTTTCTTGACCTATGAAAGGCCTTTGATCTTCTCTACCACGACTTATTGATTATGAAATTGAATCTTTTGGTGAACGTGGTGTTGGCCTGGATTGATTTAGGTCATAGTTTTCTGGACATTCTCAAAAAGTATTTATAAATGGATTGAATGTATCCACTTCCTCATTCGTGTTACTAGAGCTCAATTCTAGGGCCATTTTTATTTAACATGTTCATCTACGACTTGGTCAGTAGTGATAAGTTTGGATCTTCGTATCTATTCGCAAATGATGCCATTATCATTACAGTGGGTATCAGTGTGACTAATCTTATTTTAGTTTAAATTTAAATTAGGCGTTGTAGTAAGTAAACCGTTGGATGCATAAAAATGGGTTGAAAATAAACTTTAAAAAATCGAAGTCTAATTTCATTAATTTATTTGTAATTTGACGTGTCTATATACAGTGTATAATAAGATAATAAATTATTATATTTTAATCTATTCTAGACTATGTTCGCTATCTTGGTAAACACCTGAACTGGAAACATCTTAAAATTATAAAGCAATTCTGGTAATCATTTCCGCCCATTAACTTCCAGCCGTTGGGATGAAATAAATATCAAGATGATTTGACCTATAACTACTCGTAGTGTAGTGACATGTTTCTTATGAGTAGTTACATTGATTATACAATCGTCATTACAAAAAATTCCTAAATTAAAAAAGAATCATCACACGAGCTGACAAAATTTAACTGTTATTCCCGAATGTATGGGATGTTTAGAAAAGCAAATGAAAATTCAATTTTGTTAGAAATGAAGGCAATTAAATTAAAATCAAAATTAAATTTGTTATGAAAACCCATTATGCATAACAAAGCCCAATGAAATATTAAAAACTCGCCTTTTAGTTTATTAACTGTCTAAAAATAAGGTCATTTTTACTATTGAATTATTAAATTGAATATTATACAAAATTAAACCATTCTTATGATCTAAACTACAAACTGAATAATGATTTACTTTTCGATAATATAAATATATCATTGAACCTATATCAATATGTAATTTTTCTTATTAAATAAATTACCTTGTTTTCCTTTCATTGTCATTTCGTTTATATCTTTCTGCTTTTATCTCTAAATATTCATATTATTTATACTATGCTTTTATTATTCTCCTTTTGCAATTTAGATTTGTTTTTAGCACCATGAAAAGCCTTTGGCTATTTTGGCATCTTGCAATGTAATTTGTTAATGTGTTACCAATCTTTTTGTTCTGACTATCCTCGCTGGTTTAGTCTATTAGATGTATTTCAGCAACATCTTTAGTGGTAGATTTTCGGGTTATTTAGTGATAGACTGTAGGTAGATATATGCGTCTGATAGACCAAATCAACGAGGATAGGAATAATTTGGCAGAAAAGTAACGACCAAACTATAGGTTCATCACCGCCGGAGAGCACACGAGAAATCTCACTGAATCTGTTCATTTTTTCCTGGTATGAATGAATTAATGCCAGTTCTAGAAACGGAAGTAAATATCTAGGGTTCGCGGGTCTGATCCAAGGTTTTCCGACAACCGCTTTTGTCCCTAGGAAATAAGAATCCTACCAGTCGAAAGGCGGAATCTGTGACTCACTTTGGGTTTAGAAAGAATTAAAGAAACAACCTCGGAAACTGGGCGTCTCGCTCTTGTAGATTTCCCCCGATGCAGATTCCGTCGATTACGCCTTCCGCCTTCCTTCTCTCTTTCAAGTTCAATTGCCATGAACTTGCCTGTAACATATACAGGAACGGGGAAATTTCAACTTCTGTCGGTCATTGTCAATAAAAACAACCATCCAAAAAAAATTCTTTCTTCTTAATTCTACAGATTTTCTCTGACATTAAATCAATTTAAATAAGAGTGACGTTGAAAATTTTTCACGCGTTCACTGCGATTTCGTTTGACTGACAGGCGGATAATTTTTGAGAGATTTGAAAAACTGAACGCCATCTTTGTGAAACAACTCACTCATGACGCCATGTGGCGTCGTCCGATGGATCAATCAATTTTCCCATACTCTGATGAATTACGCGTGTACTTTCCCCCCGAAGCTTTCTCACCTTTAAATGAATAAAATGCCTCGAATCAACAAAACAAGCCTTTTACCGTTAAGTTTCTTTCCCTGGACCTTGCCTGAATTGCCCGACAGCGAAAGGAGTCGAGGTGCTCGTGTCCTTGGCTAGATTTTTTCGTCTCCATTCTTTTCGATGAGGTCCAAGGTACAGTTTATATACACAATAACACAAAAATCCTTTTGGAAACTACTTCCACATGGTATTGTTGAAAATGTTCACAAGCACAATTTATGTATTAACTTATATACAAAAAATATAAAAATTTAATTTTTTCCAGATATGATAAGGGCATTTACAATCCTGTTCCTGGCTGAGCTATGTTTCGTGTCAAGTTACAAATCTGGAGCTCCTGTTTCGATGTGCGCCAGCATGACACCATCCCATGCTGGAGTCACACCTCAGAAAACCAGCTCACCATATAAATTGGTTGTGTCAAAAACCGAGGATGAGACCTACATTGTTGACATCCAAGGAAGCCGATTCGCAGGCTTTCTTATCCAAGCGAGGAAAAACATCTCTGTCCCCGAAAGTGTTGGGACATTTACGACTTACCCTGATTACGTCAAGACATTGAACTGCAATGGGATCGTAAGTTATTAGTTAAGACCATAAAAAATATGTGTGTGTAGTAATTGTTCATAATTATTAATAAATGTAGTGCTAAAAAAAACATGCATAAACTCAAGGAACTCTTGCTCTATTTCTCTCTCTCTTTTTATTTTATTTTATTTTTTTTTTTTATATATACTATAATACTATAACTACTATAATACTAAATACAACTAAATACTATAATACACTATTATATATAGCAATTACAAGACAAAAAAAGACCATTTGCCCTCCCCATCTACCTTACTTCTGATCACCTTCGTGTATTACCAACTGTGATTGATGTCTCTACTTGTGGAATTCAAGTCCAATGCCATTATCATTTCTTAAGATCTTATTGAGGTCCCCTGTTCCAATTTTTGGAGCAAACAGGGCTTTTTTATTATACCGATCTTGTTTTGTTTTCCATTTTATGTAATATTGAGAGTAAATGTATTTATTAGCGTTATTGTGTAGTGTAAGAGGGATGATGGAAGAATATCAAGCCACCACCCTACTTAATGAAAATAAATAGGAAAAAATATATTTTAAGAATGAAGGAGTTTGGAGCAGATAAGACAGAGGTCTGTCTTTCAGACTGCCAAAACCCGAAGTAGGTGATTCGTAAGTTCAATTTTGAACCTGTATATACATGTATTTCCTGATTTAAGCTTATATATTAATATAACTGAAGGAACAAAGCTTTTTTATAATTACAATTTAAAATTTATCTTATAAACCATGATTAACCCACAAATCATTAAAGTAACATTTGGTTATTTATTTATATAAAATTTTTTTTTAGAATAATGCTATCACTCATACTCATAATAAGTTAAAAGATGGTGTGGAAGCAGAATGGGAGGCTCCAGAAGATTTTGCAGGCCAAGTAACATTTATGTATGTTCCTTTAACAGTTTTTATTTATTTATTTTTTATTTTTTTAATGAGTTTTGTTAAATTGCTAATAATTGTTTAGAGGTACGGTCGTTGCTAATTACACAACATTCTGGACAAATGTTTTATCTTCACCCATAGAAGTCGAAGGTTCTGATACAAGTCCAGTACCTGGAGAGAGCAGTGGAACTGACATACCCCAGGTCAGTTGAGCTTTATTTAATTTTCATTGGGCAGTTTTTGAGTTAATAGTGCCTTTTAATGCTATTATCAATTTTAGGCACTTTATCAAGATTGTGGCATAAGAAAGAATTGCCTCGGTTTTCCACATGACTGCATTGAACAGAAAAATTGCAGGGCAATAGTTGCTGTCTCCCGAGATAAACAAGAGTATGTATTTGAAATGATGGCCCTTCAAAGCAAATATGTAGCTGTAGGCTTATCAGAAGATGAAAAAATGGTAAAATATTTTGTTATATGTTTATATTGTTTCTATAATATTTTAATTATGACATCTTTATAAATTAATTTAACAAATATCTGCATATTACTTCTATATTAATTATAATTTTAGGGAGCAGATCAAGTTGTGGAATGTGTATTTGATAATTACAAAGAGGGTTTTGAAACCGTCAATGCGTATAGGTCATGGAATATACCTAATAATAAAGCGAACGAGCGTCTCGATGTAAGTTCAGCAAAATTATAGAATTTAGTACACATACTTTCCTAAGAAAAGTGGTATTTATCATTTAATTCATCAATTTTAATAACTTCATCTGTATTTATTATTTTACAAACAAATAATGAGAACAGATCAACCCTTAGTTTAAGATAGAAAATATCCAATTAAGGTCATCAAAAAAGCAGTTTGTTTTTTACTTTCCAGAATATAATTATTATTCTGTCATCAGGGCTGAAAACTAATGATTAGAGGTTTGTTAGACATAGTGTGAAACCAGCATCAACAGGTACAAACCAAAGTGTGCAAAAAATCCACCAAAAACCGTAGACTTTGCCATAAACTTTGCTTTAGACTTTCTGATGTTTGTTTCGCAATTTTTATGTTTAATTGATTAAAGTTTAACTTTAATATTTAAATACTCTACTTTTACTTAATTCCAATAATGAGAATAGATCGACATTTGGTTTAAGATATTAGAAAAGATCCAGTTGAGGTCACCAAAGAACGCAAAGTCTATTTTTCCTAGCAAAGCTTTTAGAATATAATTATTCCATCATAAGGTTCAAAACTAATTATTAGAGGTTTGTGAGGTATATTGTGAATCAAACGTCAGCAGGTATAAACCAAAGTGTGCGGTAAAATCCACAAAAAAACTGTGGGTTTGCAACACACTTTGGTTAAGACCTTCTGAAGTTTGCTTGAATTTTTTTAATGTTTTTATTTATTAAGGTAGAAGATAGTAGAAACAAACCATTTGAGGTAATCAAAGAACGCAGTCTGTTTTTTTTCTAGCAAAGCTTTTGGAAAATAATTACAATTCCATCTTCAGGGCTCACAACTTTAATTGATTAAAAAGTTGCCAAGCAATTGTCAACAGGTCTAAACCAAAGCATGTAGCAAAGTCTACGGTTTTTGGTGGATTTTGCCTCATTCTTTGGTTTTGACCTGTTTACGATTGCTTGACAATTTACCAATTACAGTTAAACTTTTATGCTTAGATTTGACTGTCCATTGTATACCATTGTTACCTTGGAAAATTTCATTCTTCTTTCCTTTAATTACAATTATTACTCAAGTAATTATTTTCCCACTCTTACACAATAGTTTCCTTGATCTGTACCATCAACAATTAATATTAATACTAATTAATAAATTAATTCGCACAATTTCAGGCCAGTACAGTAGGATTGACCTTAATAGAGAATAATTACAATGATGGTAGTGTTTACTGCAAAGTTCATGTCAGTACAGTAACATCAGTTGGCGAGCTTAACTTTGACTTAACCAATAATCAGTATTACCTCCTGCTTGCTGCAGGATCACAAGCTAAAGGTAAGATAATTTGATTTATAAATTTTACTAGAAATAAGTTAATTGAATGCCCTTTCTTGGAATATACATTGTTGTAACATATGTTTAATTTTGATTTATTTTAATATACTGTTCTAATTTACTGGCGTGTATTAAACTTTCAGAAAATGGAGTAAGCTATCATGACGTGGGAAAAATTGTGGCTCACGACAAGAGGCAGGTAACAGATGTGAGCCCAGTGAAAGTGCATGATTCATTTTATGATGGGTGTGATGTCGAAAAAAATTGTTTCGGCTTTCCTGATGGTTGTGTGGCATTGAACAATTGTAAAATGGTTTCATCCATTGTGGCCAAAGGGACTTCTTATATTTTCAAACTGAAATCAAAAGTAGGGACTTACATAGCACTTGGGTTGTCACGAGACAATAAAATGGTCAGTACTATTTATTTTATTTTTTTAAAATTATTGATGAAAGTATGTGTTTCTTAATACAGGGAGAAGACAGTGTCATGGAATGTGTTCATGAACAAGGCGATAATGTTCAAGTATATATGTCCTGGAATAAACCTGGAGAAAAAGCTAATACGAGAGATCAAGTGGTAATTGACCAATTTTTTTTGCTTATATATATTTACTAAATGTACTAATTTTCAGGATCAAAGTGGTGTTCAAGTGGTAACAACCAAGTATGACAATGGAGAAATTTACTGTGAATTTACCAGAGATGTTGTTACTGTTGTGCAACAAAATACTTATGATTTGGCCAAAGATAATTACAACATACTTCTTGTTTCAGGAAGTTCTCTGAAAGGTAAACAAATCATAAATCTAATTTTCTTTTTTTACTAAACTGTATTTGTACATGCAGTTTGGTTCATCTACCTACCACTCTATTCAGACAAAATCATTTTAGTTGAGCCTAACTCTGATTTTTTGACTGTTTTAAAACTCACCAATGCTACTCAGCATTCCATTGCACAATCATCATCCTCTCCTAGAACTCACAATTTATCCACTAAGTTTATCTTCCGTATATCTGCTCCCTTTTAAACGCTAAACTACAAGCTAGGGATCGACAACAATCCCATTATCCTTCATATAAAAGAAAGCTGTTAAATAATTGTTTATTGCAAGATATTACCAAATGTAATCTCATTGTGAGGAATACTGCTGGGTGTTTTGTTCTCACTACAAGTTTCATTTTCTTTTTTTTCATATTTTATATTTAGTATATGATCATAACTGTAATGTGCATTAATGCAATAAATTAAAAAAATAAATAAATTAAGGTATAAATAAATTAAGCTCTACCAGTTAACTGTGCTTCTACAAGCTCATCTCTCCTCTTACTGCTTTCCCCAGTACATTTAATATGTTAAAACCCTTTCCCCTTTTTTCCTGCATGCAGGAAAACAAACCTAAACACTTCCTACCCACTCCTTATTATTTTAACCTGAAATCCTACCTAGTGAGGTGCAACGAGTTTTCAGAAATCAGATCGATACAAGTCGGCATCCAACAAGGGGGCATTCTTGGTTTTCCTTTATATCATCTATACTGCTGACCTACCTAAATACCCCAATAGCATCATCACCGTCAACGTGGACAATCCTATCCAAGCTACTTCCAACATCCAAGAACAACTTGAGCTTATTGAATGGTGCAAAAAGTAGAGGACAAGACTGAATGAAGAAAAATGTATTCAATGTACATTTACATTGAAAAACATTCTTATCCTCCGTTATACATCAACAACAAAGACCGGCTTTGATTCAAGTCAAATAGGCAGGCCCATACCTAGACCACATGCTGACATCACACAAGACTTAAAAAACAACATAACTAAAAAAATGGACAACTTTGAAGACTTGTCCAAAATCTGTCTTGTCTATCTACTCTCCTTCTAATCTGTATTGATTTTAAATTTAAATAATAAAAAATTAATTATATTTTCTTTTAAACTTCAGAGCGAGGTGTTGGCTACCATGATGTCGCTGTGACCATTAGTTCTTCAAAAAGATCATTATCAGATGTAGGAGCATTCAAATCAACATCCAAATTATTTTTGAGACTACATGGATCATTTATGATAGCGGCATGGATTGGTACAGCAAGTATTGGTATTATATTTGCTCGATATTTTAAACAGACATGGGTTGAAAGCTCATTGTGCGCAAAAGATTTATGGTTTGCTGTAAGTATATGTTTTTTGAGGCACAATGATTGTGTGGCTTTTAACCTTCATATTTTTTTAAATTTATATTTAAACTTGTATTTTAGTGGCATAGATTCTTCATGTTGATCACATGGTGCCTAACTTTGATTGCGTTTGTTTTAATATTCGTTGAAGTAGGAGGTTGGGTTGAAGGAAATAGCCAAATGCATGGCATTTTAGGCTGTGTGACCACTCTGTTGTGTTTTCTGCAACCAATCGGAGCAGCGTTCCGACCACATCCCACGGCCAGGAATAGGCCAGTTTTCAATTGGCTACACTGGCTTGTTGGAAATGCTGCTCATATATTTGCAGGTATGTACTTCTTTTACAAAATATTTCTCTTAATTTATGTTATTCTTAATTTTCATTCTTGTCCATTTTTTCTGTTTTGTAATTAAGTTCAAATCATATTACCATGATTTCCACCAAAGAGTGTCTTAAAAACAGTATCTAGTGCATATATTTTAATTATTTATTGTTGTATAATGTTATTATTAAATATTGGATTAGCCACAATTCTACCTATGCCCTCACACCCGCTAAATACATTTTTTCCGGACAAATGGCTCATTCCCGGGAAGAGTTCGTCAGTTACCCAAGAAAACATTTTTCAATTTACATCTATCAAAAACTTTAAATGTCACACGCATACTTTAAAACAATACAAGCAGAATGAGAGGAGTAGCACAAGAATTGAAAGAGGTTATTTGACATTAAAAAAAGTTAATTTTAAGTTAAAAAGTCAAATTACCAAATATTATTTCTTTAAAATCAGTGCTCCAATCTCCCCCTTGTAATATAATTTTAGTTTTTGTACAATTAAATAATATTTTTATAGTTACAGAAATAAATTTAAAATCATAAAGCCGGGTCTTGACAAAATTGTTTGAGATTTAACTTGAGTTTTTTTCATTTAGAAAGAAATTTAGCAGTTTTAAAGTTTTTACAGTTCTATTTGATTATTATTATTATCCACAATTATTTTCAGTTGTGACCATATTTTTTGCCATCCCATTGGCAAAGGCAGAACTACCTGACTGGTTGGACTGGATCCTAGTTGCTTTTGTCGCATTATATGTCTCAGTACATCTTCTTTTAACGGTAAGAAATGTCATATTTGCTGTTGTTGAGTTTAATTATTTTGATTTAGTTAAAAATAGACCAATTTGATATACAAAGCCCAATCAGTGTTGCTTCCTTTCTTCAGAAAATGACAGAGAAGGTATGTCAATGATTCAATGGAAGAATTTGGGGGAATACTTAAATGACCTTATGTCCTACCTAACCCACAATCACATATGCAAGTTACATACGTTGGACAAAAATAGAACAAAAAAAAATCATGGAAACTACAACAAAATTCCAAATAGCATTTCTTAGCATCACTGGTGTTTGTAAAACAACACCCATAGCCACAATGGAACATATTACCTATAAATGTTAAAATAATGGTATCACAGAATCATCAGTCAGTAGAAAGAAAGCATCAAACAAATGCTGGCCTTACTAAAATTTTGGACAACGTTAAAATAACTTACATGGGTACAACTTTCTCTGATATATCAGGAAACTACTAGATTTTAAAAAACCATTCAACATAATTATAAACACAACAAACACTGGAAAATGTCATGAGACAGACAAGACTACTCGCAAAAACAACCCAATGGGAGAAAGAGGAATCCTACAGAAGAAATTAATAACCCTAAGGTTTATTTACCAGATATGCCCCAATAAAATACCACTTTAAGAAAATGGAACTAGTAACCCCAGAAACAGCCCAATTTCAGCTGTTTCTAACAGAGGCAGAGACAGGATAGATCTTATACAAATATCTTGCAATAGTTAGGAAAAGGCTATGGTACTGGAAAACCATTCTTGACTAATGTAGACTTAGTAGAAGTCTCCTCTCATACTCCTAAGAAGAAGTCTTTACTTTCTTAAAGAAAAAACCTTTAGCAGAGATCAGACAATATAGACAAAAGTAATTTTAAGTTTTATTAGTAGTAAAAGTAATTTTGAAGTAATTTGATCATGAACTTTATATTTCAATGACCAAAAATACATAAAGAAATTTTAAAATCATTTATGCAGTACTTTAATAATAGTTTTATCTTTCAGATTGCTGGCTGTATAAGCGAAAGAAAGAGCGTGAAAAGAGTCAGCACATTCCCAATGAAAGACTTAAATACGAGTAGGAGTGCACTTAATAGCATAGAAAGAAAGCAAGATGCACCTGTAAGTAAAAATAATAAAATAGTTTAATAGCAATAATGATGATTTTATTAAACAAATTAAACCAATTGCTAAAATTGATTGTTTTCTGTTGCAGCATTCTGGTTTCCGTAAATTTTTACTCTTTATTCACATCGTCGGCATTACAGCACTAACGGTAACAATAATAACAATAATTGCGTTGGCTCCCATTGAAGCGCAATGGTCGTCACTTCAGAAAAAATTAATGTCTACATAATAATTTTTTTTCTGCACCAACAGTTATCTTTAAATCAATGTTTTTTTTTTGTTGTTTTTATTATGTCTTCATTGTCAATCAACGAATTCAAATTTGAAAAATCTCTTTTACCATATTAATTTCTTCTCATTTCCATAACATTTCTTGTAAAAACATATCATTTGTTATGACTTACTTCTGTAGGAAATGAGATTATAAATTTGTTATAATATTTGAGCCTCGTACCACTAATTTTAATTTATTAAATTTCTGTTATGACATTTAAGCCTTTGAAATGCAGGAAGTGATAATGGCATATTTATATTGAATTTTATGTAGTTATCGAATATATGGCTTAATTTGAAATTATATTAAGTTGTGTACTTTAAAGCATAATCGTACAAGTATGAACAGTATTTGTAGTATGAAAAATCCAAGAAAAACGTGGTCTTTATATATTGCATTTTAAGTCAAAGTGTTGCCGATCATTTTCAGAAGTATTAATATACACAAGTGAACGATTAATTTAAGTCTGCATTGCTTAATTTACTTTTGAAACAACTTGCACTTTAAAACGGTTGGCATATGGCTCACATTTTCTGGGCATAAAAACCAGTCTAATGTTTATTTTTAAATGTGTGATTAGTGACCGTTAATCGATAATTATTCAGAAATCGTGAGATGAGGTCTGGTGTGATGTAGGTTTCAGAAAAACATTTTCTTTATCGTGCCAACGTTTCGATCTTTATTGAGATCATCTTCAGGGCTCAAAGTGTTTGTCTTTTGTGTAATCGTGCCATTCTTGCGTGTCGTATTGAGAGGGCATGTTGGCATGATAAAGAAAATGTTTTTCTGAAAGCTACATCACACCAGACCGCATCTCACGATTTCTGAATATTTATTTTTAAAGATAGCATACCATTTAAATAACCATTTCGATATCCAAAGGTAGGACATATTCTAAATGAAAGTGTATTCTCTTTTAACATGTGTACATTGTAGTTAACTAGGAAACTATCTGCCAAAGTGGAACATCGATCATTCCTTACCAACAAGCAAGTACAGTTCTTGAATTATATAGTTATTAATTCATTAAAATAATCTGTTGTGATGTTATTAAGTTATATTATATTAACAGTAATGTGTTATATGTACAATATAACAGTATTGATAAGTCAAGGTTGCATTGTAAAGAGAAAAAATTACCAGCGGTAAATTTGGCCATTTTATTTTTAAGTTGTGTAGTGGAATAAATATAATTGTTCATTGATTTATGTTTAAAACTATATATTGTTGTGAAATGTAATAATAAAATTATCTATATCAATTTTTAATTTGGACAGATCCTATAGTCGGACAAGTATTTTTTATTTTTATAGTAGTCCTGTACTTTTTTAAGTTTTGTGAACAAAATAAGACTGAAATTAACTGTAAAGAAGTAAAAACGAATGCATTTACTAGGATAATTGATTAGACCCAATTTTTACTCTTTTAAACACATTTATGGGCAACCCCTTCCAATTGTTATATTTTTACATACAGAAAGACTGGATTAATTTGAACAAAAGTCTGGAAAGTGGTTGACATCTCTTGAAAATCATGCGAACATTCAATGAACAAATCAAACTTATTTGTAGTTATCGAATGTAACATCTTAAGTAAAATAGTACGGCTGATTTGAATAATTATTCTGATCAAAAGTCTTTTATTTCACTACACATGTAAATAATTTTAAGCTTTTCAATGTACATATATTTTGTATGGCTAAAGCCCTGGTTTGTACTAAAATTTTTTTGAATACTTGGAAATATTTTAATGTCTTTAGTTTCATTAATTAGTGTTGTCTAAAAACTTGCTCTTAGCGCATTTTCTATCAGCAATATTATATGGGAAACATTTGTTCTAACTATAAAAGAGACTATTCTACATTTATAAATTAGATGCTAAAAAAATTCCAAAAAAATAATCGTAACTGATAAATTGATTGATTATACAATAATATCTGGATAAATCCACAAATTACCCAAAACGAATATATATCTGTACTAATTTTTCTTATTATGATGAATATAAAGAAAATGAAATTCTAAGAGGAAGAACAAACTTTTAAAAAGTAAACTGTTACCATCGTTAGAAAAAAATCAAATGGAAAAGTAAGAATAATTACATAAACATAACAAAATCAAAAAATTTAAACAGTTTTTGTTTAATTAATATTATCTTTTAAATGTGTCACTCAATGAAACTACTAACAAAATTGGTGCAAGTGTGTCTGTGTTATATTCTGTAATTAAATTTTAATTTGTTGATATTGTCTAGATTTATAGTAATATCAAATATTGTATTATAATGATACTAACATAATCAAATATTTATATTTATTATATGAATGTACCTGTTTATATCAATATAATTGTTAAATTAATAAAACTAATTATATTTTGTGTCATATGAGTTTTATTTCAATATTCAATGTAGTTTTTTTGGAATGCCTAATTATAATGGAATGGACCTCTTCTGGAAGAAAGAACAACAATAAAAACAAATCTTAAGAATTGTCTCCATTCACGTCCTCGGTGGTCATGTCTATCATTCTATTGATCTCTCACTGGCACTCTCAACGACACACAATAATGACACATCTACACAGAAAACAAACACTTTGAGTGAGTACAAATACTTTGAGTCTAAAATTTCTAGCATCGTATAAATTCATTTTTTCACATCGTACATGTATTTGTGTAATTTAAACAATGTTTATTGATCCCAGGCCCTGAAGATGGTCTCAATAAATATCGAAACATTGGCACAATAAAGAAAATGTTTTTCTAAAACCTACGTCACACCAGACCGCATCTCACGATCTCCAAATAATCATTAACTAACGGTCACTAAACACCACACATTTGGAGTTTATGTTAACAGACTTTCTAGTTTTTCTATCCTGTGAAGAGAGACCACCCTCTCTCTGCCTCAGGGCCTGTTCAGTCATAGGATAAAATATAAATAAACACAAAGTACTTTATGCATGTAATAAAAATATATTACATGTAAAATATTGGTAGTTTCGTTAGCATTCATACTGCCCCAGAGTGCTCAAAATTCCTGGAGTTAATTGAGAAAGAAGCCCCTCTATTTATGCAGCTAAATCACATTCACACACCAGACTGACCCTGAATCTTGATATTCCTCACTGATGGAGATAATTGATAATTGAGAATAACCTCTCCTTGTTCATTTGTACTAATCAATTACATTCACACAACAGATTTCATTCAAAATGACCAACAGTAGTTGATATTCTTAAGATAATTGGGGATAAGCTTCTCCATTCATGCTAACAAATTCTATTCTCACACCAGGCTTCATTCACTCTGCACCAGAGTACTCAATATTTATTGGGGTGGTTAGGGATGGTTAGGTTAACCATGGTTAACCATCCCTAACCCAGAGCCTTGATATTCCTCAGGATAATTGAACCCTTCCATATTCATTTGTACTACTCTAGGATAAAATATACATATAATAAACACAAAGTACTTTATGCATGTAATAAAAATATATTACATGTAAAATAATGGTTGTTTCATTAGCATTCATACTGCCCCAGAGTGCTCAAAATTCCTGGAGGTAATTGAGAAAGAAGCCCCTCTATTCATGCAGCTAAATCACATCCACACACCAGACTTCATTCAAACTGACCCTGAATCTCAATATTCCTCACTGATGGAGATAAGAAGCCCTTCCTTTTGCTAAAACATTTCATTCATAAACAAGACTTCATTCAAACTGACCCAGCGCCTTGTTTTTCCAAAGGATAATTGAGAATAGCCCGTCCATGTTCAAATTTATTCATATATAATAATTTATATTCAAATTTATAAATATTTAATTAATTTGATTAAGAGCAGTGTAGACTTTACTGTTTAAATGTTTATATTTAGAATCCCTGCCAAGATAATTATATTTTTTAATAAAAACTTGTTAAGTTTTTATATTCTGTATTATATGAGATCTTTTTTTTATAATCATTTTCATTAAACTTCACACTTTTAATTGATAGTTGTAGATAGAATTGTCAACCTGTGAGATATTTGTATATCCAGTTCCTGGATGTAACTGAGGACGAAGCCCCTCCTTTCGTGCTAAAACATTTAACACAACAGATTTATTTCAAAATGACCAAGAGCAGTTGATATTCCCAGGATAATTGGGGATAAGCTTCTCCATTCTAATAACAAATTCCATTCACCCTGCTTCATTCACTCTGCACCAGAGTACTCAATATTTCTCGGGGTAATCGAGAATAGCCCCTCCATTCGCGCTAATAAATTACCCTCAGTGTATTCGATATTCCCGGATGTAATTGAGAACAAAGCCTCTCCTTTCATGCTAAAACATTTCATTCATAAACAAGATTTTCATTCAAACTGACCCAGAGCCTTGATATTCCTCAGGATAATTCAGAATAGCCCCTCCATGTCCATTTGTACTAATCAATTACATCCACACAACAGATTTCATTCAAATTGACCAAATTCCATTCACGCCAATAAATGCATACAGGACATCTCATTCCTTCGAGTACTCGATATTCTTTGGGAATCAAAGGAGTCGAGCTCTTCTCCATTCTCGCTAATAAGAGCATTAGTTCCAGGATTTAACATATATCACAAAATAAAACAAAGGTTTTTATACACTTAGAAATATGTACGACTGTCTATATCTATATTCGCTCGGCGATCTGTGCCCAGACGAAGTTCTTAATTTGCACACTTAACTATATAAAATCGGTTGGTATGTACAGTGGTTATTTCCCTGCATAATGGGCGCCGGCGTGGTCTCCCCTCAATTTGAGGCGCGGAAGAAAATTATGGACTACCTTATACGTACAATGGTTAATGTCCAATATTCTTATTACATTTCGGCCAATTTTCAATCTGACTGTACTGTCCGAAATTCGCCCAACTTCCTTTTATGTTTCGACCTCAAATCCCCCTCAGATTTCAATTAGGGTTTGGATGGTGGAGCCTCCGTTAACTAATCCTCTGGGAACGTGTCGGCTCACGACATTTACAAGTACGGGTGTCAGTCGAGGAGGGTGAGATAAAGATGATTCGCCGACTGACGACCGAACGCACGACTGCATATTAAACCGTCATTGATTTGCGCTTATGTCCACAATAGATGAGAGATCGACCCGCTGACAATGCACCCCTCTTCGAACGTTTTTTTATTTATTTCCATAATGGAAAGTATAAAACAAATGGGCAATTACTCATTTGACTTTTGATTTTACTCAACATGAATCTTTTATAGCTTTTTTCCGCCAAATATTAACCCTTTCGTTAAAGCATTAAAAAAATTAAGCTATTGTATGAAAGACAAGCGTGTAATGTAAAATGCCTGTATCTTTGAAATAAAAAAAAAAAAATAACTAGGCTTTTAGAAGACCATATGTTTTATTTATTTATATTTTTTTACTGGGGCTTCCGACATCTGGGTCATTTCATCCCCAAGCTAAGTCAAGTCAATATTCTATTTACACTTCTATTTACAAACACTACATTCATACAGATAAATACATTCATACACATGAATACATCCATACAATACACTCATTCCGTTTGGTCGGTGGAGTACTTGATATTCCTCCACCGACCTATACTCGAACTAAACTAGATTGGGGTCGATGGAGTACTTTTATAAACCATCGACCCCGAACACACTCATACGCTCTCATCGTTCGAGGGGCGATGATGATGTTATATTTCACCCTCACCCCTCGCCATTCACGCTAATAAATACATGCACTCAGACAAAAATATAGACACACAACACATGAGACATACTATATACAATAAAAAAACCCAATTTCCCGTAAAAATCGGAACAGGGGACCCTGAAACTCGCTGCAGTGCTCGAGTACCTTCTTCAGATTGGATGGCATGCCTACGCGCTCCCTGTAGGGAGCCAAGGCATGGCATGTTTCCAGTATGTGGGACACATCGAGCAACCTTTCTCTGCATAAGGGACACCTGCGCGGGCTTTGGCCCAAGAGCAGGTGGCCGTGTGTCAACCGTTTATGGCCTATTCTTAATCGCGTTAGGACGATTCCTTGTTTCCGGCTCAGGTTCTCGGGGGGCTATCTACGAATCGTGCTCTTGACGCGCAAAAGCCTCTCGGACGACCCGGCCCACTGACGCTGACATCTTTCTTTTATCATGGTTTTTACTGCTAGCTTGGCGTCAGAGGGCCTGGTCGCGATGGTCCGGTCTGGAGGGTTGGACGTCCCGGCCTTTGCCGCCTCGTCCGCGCGTTCGTTACCCTCCAGCCCGACGTGTCCGGGGATCCAGACAACAACCACCGTTTTTCCGAAGCGCTTCAACTCGGCGATTTTTTCCATCAACAGCACGACGAGAGGGTCCAAAGAGAACCCGTCCCGCAGGGCCCAGACAGCGCTCAGAGAGTCGGTGCATACGAGGAAGGCTGATCCTTCCTCGGTCCGCACCGCCTCGAGAGCGTGCCAGATCGCGTACAGTTCTGCCGTGTATATGCTGCAATGGGGGGCAGCGACCAGGAGGTGGCCACTCCTTTGCCATACACGGCACAGGTAGAAGACCATATGGAAATTAATTATAATTAAAATTTTAAAAAAATTATATGACCGGAACATCAACTGGGCCTGGCCGATTAACTGTTTCATAAATAACAGTGCCATAATGATTTCAGGACATTAAATAAAGTTAATCAAAAAAGAACAAGCAAGGTGAAATCTATAGTTGGGATCGATAGCATAGATCTTTTTAAATATTATTACTTAAGCTCGGCTCGTAAGTCTACAACTTTGTGCTACATAGAAAAAAAGAGATTTTTTATTGTGCCGAAATCTGGGGACTATGATATTTAAATAAATATTGAAAAAACGTACTTAAACTTTCTTAAAAGATTACTTAGCTTAAGTAATTAATACCCCCCTCTTGGATAATCAAAACAGAATATAGCTTTTTTCCCGTCAAATTAACATTTTTTAACTTCAAATTAGCCTTTTTTTAATTTCAAATTAAACATTTTTAATTTCAAATTAACCCTTTTTAAATTCAAATTAACCTTTTTTAACTTCAAATTAACCTTTTTTAATTTCAAATGAACCATTTTTAACTTCAAATTAACCTTTTTTAATTTCAAATTAAACATTTTTAATTTCAAATTAAAATTAATTAATACTAAATTAATTGTTTAATAATAATAAAGTGGGGAGTTTATGGGCCGTCAAGCTGAGGGCATCGCCGGCCCTCTGCGTGTTTTCCTTCTTTTTCTCTTCTTTCTGGCGTATTTTGTTTTAAACTGCAGCCATTTGAGCGTCTCGTTTGTGTCTCAGGTTGACAAATACAGAATAGAAACAAAACATACAATACATTTATGTGTGTGTCATCACGACAAACATAGAAGTGTGGTCTCATTCACCCTCCCAACCGGACTTCTCGATATTCTTCGAGGCGGGGTTGAACCCACTCCATTCTAGCTAATAACTTACCTTTACTCTCCAGACGTCACATACTCACCCCAGAGTATTCGATATTCCTAAGGGCGGGGCTAAACAATCCCTTCCTTTCACGCTAATAAATTACATTCATTCCAATAAGTCAACAAAGTCAACACAGACACAACTCAAACATACATAGATACTATATACTTTTAAAAATTCCTATAGCCCTGAGGTAACCCGAACAGCGCTCTTTGCCCGTTGCCGTGCCCCAAGATTTCGCACAGGTCCGATGATATGCTAAAATATTGTCTATATACGTCAAGCTCCTTCTACAATTGAAAAGGTGCAAAATGCTGCTACTATCCTTGCAGAAAAGGCACCTAGTCATCTACGCGGTCACTTTCCAGCCAGAAGGCGCCCGTTCGTTGTTCTTGTATGACTTATGCGTAGTCTTGTCAGTACGGCCTTTTCCCTTTTCGAACGGTTCTCCGTGCATCTGGTACCGACGTCTTTCTTACGCTGCCACAGTTTAGCAGAGTTATTTCTTCGATTCCGGCGATTTTTACATTCCATTTGAAATTAATAGTTTTAGACCCCCTGGGCGTACAGGTTGGAAACGTCCTGGGCCTTCCAGCGGCTTCTTTGGCCGCCCTATCCGCTTCTCCATTCCCTGCTATCCCTATTAATTGATTAATAACATAATAATAATAAATTAATAATAATTATTATTAATTAATATTAATTGAAATTAATAAAATAATAAAGCAGCCAAACATCTTGCCTTATGATAATCACGCACATGCATCTGATAAAAAAAATCCAAAGCAGTGTGCGAGGTAGAATCGTCGAGAAAGAATTGTCTGATAGTAACCAAAGATTTTTCACCTAAAGAAATGTTGATAAATGGATCCTTGGTTAGTAACACGGAAATTATATATGTTTCTTTCAATGCACATTTTACTCATTTGGATAAACCATCAATTCCCATCAATTCCTGCTATATCAAAAAATGACCGTACCCTAATAAACAGTGCTAATTCTTTCCCTGCATTTTAAGATTGATGATATTATTGATTCCCCTAAAAACTGGGCTCTCACCTGGCCTGTATGTTTTAATAGCTTTTTCCTGAAACAATGTGCTCCTTACTTGACTAAATATTTATATGTAATTGTATGTTTGAAACTGGTGTCTGTCCAGTAAACCTAAAGGCAAGGTGATGCTTTGATTATGAAATTGAATCTTTTGGTGAACGTGGTGTTGGCCTGGATTGATTTAGGTAATAGTTTTCTGGACATTCTCAAAAAGTATTTATAAATGGATTGAATATATCCTCTTCCTCATTCGTGTTACTACAAGGGCCCCATAGAGCTCAATTCTAGGGACATTTTTATTTAACATTTTCATCTACGACTTGGTCAGTAGTGTTAAGGTTGGATCTTCGTATCTATTCGCAGATGAGGCCACTATCATTACAATGATCAGTGTGACTAAACTTATTTTAGTTTAAATTTACATTAGTCGTTATAACAAGTAAACCGTTGGATGTATAAAAATGGGTTGAAAATCAATTTAAAAAATTGATGTCTTATTTTATTAATTTATTTGTAATTTGACATGTCTATATACAATGTATAATACGATAATAAATTATTATATTTTAATCTATTCCAGTCTATGTTCGCTACCTTGGTAAACACCTGAACTGGAAACATCTTAAAATGATAAAGCAATTCTTTTAATCATTTCCGCCCATTAACTTCCAGCCGTTGGGATGAAATAAATATCAAGATGATTTGACCTATAACTAGTTTTAAGAAATGTTTTCCTGACTATATCGGTCAACACACGGTTTTCAGGAACAGTCGTAATATTATTGGTCTTGAATAACAGTCTTTTATACAGAAAAAATCTTTACTTTTCAAGTGCATATTGGCACGTTGCACTTTGCAGACACTGGATACGCCACGCCCATTCGCGACAGCGCAGGCTTAGCACGATGCTCCAACTTGTCTTGCTGTGGGCGTGCTTACTACTAAAAGAATTTCCAGTGGAGTCTATTTGAATTTTAAATGGGACTAAACTGTCCACGATGTTTGAAATTTTAAGGAATGGAAATAAATAGTGTTACCCTCTGCTTCAATTTGAACAGTGTTACGATGCACGAGATCATCGCTAAGTGCGAAAGTATAAAACACCCGAGTATACCTAGAATTTTTCTCAAAACTTTTAAAGTCAATAAATAATATTTACTTTTTTTTTAAATCGTAGTTAAAGAAGTTCTTTTTAGGCCGCGACAAAGCGTCCGGTATAGCACCATTATTACAATACCAGCGTAGAAATAATAGAAACGAAGGTTTTCTTCTGATAAATCGGTTCAGGGTATAGGATTAGTATTTGATCTTTAGACCTGCTATTTGAATTGGTTGGGGTTCATCGTTTTTCATCACTGTTCTTCAGTCTTCAAACTGTGCGGGTGTAATTTAGCAGTACGATTCCAGGTAAAACGAATATTTAATCATTATTTGTTAGGACTCCAATTTTCTCATAGCGACAGTCGTTAGTTGTGATCGCTTAATGTCAAACTCACATCTTTAGAAAATTCACTCTGACATTCTCTCTCCCTTTCTTTCTCCCTCTCTTTCTCTACATATATATATATATATATCCAGATGCCTTATGTTGTTTTATTTTATTTTTTTTTATTTGGTATTTTTCCTACTTTAGTCATTCCATTTTGAATATTTTTCTATCGCTCAGAGAATTCTTTTACATATTTGTATTGTTTGCTGTTGTTGTTGTCCTTAGGGAACCTCTTCGCTGGACAAGGACCTAAACGCTTTTCTTTATTTCGCTCTTTCTCACTTTCTCTTTTGTTCTCTCTCTTTCTTTCTCTCTCTCTCCTCTTTCTCTCTCTTTCTTTCTTTCTCTCTCTCTCTCTCACTATCACTCTCCTCTTTTTCTCTTTCTCAATTTCTCTCTCTCTTTCTTTCTCTCTCTCTCCTCTTTCTCTCTCTTTCTTTCTTTCTCGCTCTCTCTCTCTCTCACTATCACTCTCTTTATCCAGTTTATCTACCTTTTTCTTCTCTGAACTCTCACACTCTCTTTCTAACAATGGCTACTTTTTCTCAACCGACTCAGTGACTCCCAACAACAAATCACCAACGCATAAGTCAGTCAGTATCTAATCTCATGGACCCTCTAGCTTCCACCCTCTACCATATATTTTTATATTAAATGCTGATTAACCCCTTCTTTGAATAAAAAAAGATACATTGTCCCATTTCAGAGTTTTTTCTTAGAGAGGAACTTGTCAGTTCCAAAAAGAGTATATTCCGATAAACCAATAATTAAAACATTCATCAATGATCATACATCCAAAAATTTATTTTACCCATGCTAATTGCCTAAGCGCTTTACAGGCCTTTTTTAATAGAAATTTTTTGTAACAATCTTGATTATAACTGTGTCTAGTAACAAGACTTTAGAAAAACTTGATGTGCCCTTTTTCCTGGGGTTCAATTTTAAATTACATGTCTTAATAATTGAACCAGGATGACCGGTGACGGTCAATCTGCCGACGAATTTCAATAACTTTTCAACCTATCAAGAAAACCCCACAAAATATATTAAACTACATTTTTTTAAAAAGAAAGTTTATCTGAATTGGCATGGTTTTATTTTCCTTGTATGGGGGAAGCTCTTCCTAGAGTGTTTATCGTCGGAAACAAATTTAAAAACAAACATCCGATCTGGAGCTGTTGAGCCGTGAGGGACGATAAGAGGCACGTGTCGCGTTTGGACAAATAGATACGGACGTCGTCCCGGCCCTCTTTTATCCCTCCCAGCAATTTCAACGCGCAATCAGAATCAATTTACCACTATTGCAGTAATTTATATAATATTTACAGAGCTACCCTTTGCCCCTTATCGCAATTTCTCACCCGACCGAGAACAATTTCGGTTCAATTACTCCCACATCGAGAAGTATTGGCCTTTCCTGCCATTTCATTTAATAATCGGCCAAGTTTCTTCCACCCGAAAATGATTTCCATGTAATTAAGTAATTGCCAAAATTGACTCTTGACAGTGAATTAATTATTTTGTTACACCTCTAAAACTCGCGTAACACAAACTCTCAATATATTATGTATGTGATGTAAAATCTCAAAAAAAAAAAAAAAATGTTTTTACTGACAAGGAAGGAGTGGGTGATACTCTAGTTCGAAAAACATTAACACGTGGGTTCAAAGATTGCCAATGTGCCCTACGAGCCGACAAAATTTTGATTTAAAAGTATACATTTAAAAAAATATGATTTTCTGAGTTTGGTTTGCTTGTTCAAGATATATAGAAGAATATACCTATTCAGAAATCGTGAGAAACGGTCTGGTGTGATATAGGTTTCAGAAAAACATTTTCTTTATCGTGCCAACGTTTCGATCTTTATTGAGATCATCTTCAAGGCCAACACGACACGCAAGACTGGCACAATTACGCAGAAAAACACTTTGAGTGAGTAGAAATACTTCGATTGAATATAAAAAAAAATCTTTTAAAAATTCATTTTTTTCCACATCCTACATGTTTTTGTTAAATTGAAATAATGTTTATAAATCTCAGGCCCTGAAGATGATCTCAATAAAGATCGAAACGTTGGCAAGATAAAGAAAATGTTTTTCTGAAACCTTCATCACACCAGACAGCTTCTCACGATTTCTGAATAATTATCGACTAACGGTCACTAATCATCACACATTATTATACACCAGTAGATTTGTTTTATTTTTTACATAGGTGAGAAAATGATATGCACGATTGTATTAAGTAAGATGAATTATTAAAGATAATAAAATTTGCAGTAAAATGTTACAAAACGTAAATTATGCTTCTTAAGAATATTGTTTGTCGTATTTGATGTATTTTTGTGATCGGTATTTTTCCTTTTTAACTTACAATTTTGAAAACACAAGAAGAATAAATTCTCCAGCAGTAGGGTTAGAAGAAAGAAAGAAGAAAATTACCATCAATCGGTGACAGTGCGTTTGTATAAAATCAAGAGGAGATATGAATTTTATTCTTTATTGCTATGAACATGTATTTTTTAAATGTTAAAAGATGTTTAAAACAAATTCGAATTGTTCCGAAGAAGGTCGCCAGCTGGTAGATTTCGTAGACGCAGACAATCTGATTATACTAAAGGACAGTTTCCCAACGCTCTTACAAATAGACCTGGTAATCAGTCTTCATCAGTCGATCTTTCAATAGCCTCACCCTATATTACTAAATAATACAGCCCGGTTCCTGTTAGCTTTGGGTGTTGGTATGGTATGGTAAAAAGGATATTAGGAAGCGGGTTTTGTGCTCCCCAGGCACTGCAGCCTTTTGGCTTATTGTACCTTCCTAGTTCCTTAGTTCAGTGCATTAGACTCAATCCTCCTCCTTAGAAGTATCATTGACTGTCGCTGCTGCAATTTGATCCGTAAGTTTTTTCCGTACGTTAGGTTAAATCTCCATTGAGCTGTTGCTTCGCATTCGAATATGATATTGGTGGCTGTTTCCTCCTCTTCATTACATAATCTACAAATGGGATGATCTTTGTATATGCCCATGTTGTGTAGAACATGTTGTGTTTCTCAGATCCCAGTAACCGGTTAGTAACCCTACCACTCCTCTGAGTTTGGCCCTCTCCAATTGCAGCAATGATTTTGCCAGTCTCGGTGAGGGTTGTTTCATCATAAGTTTACTACGTCTAGCGCCGCTAGAGTTTATCCTCTTCTCCTTTTGTTTTGTTTGGATCCATTCTGCGATGGAAGATTCTATATTTGTTTTTGTTGTCCCAAGAATAGGTTCGGGGCCTATGTATGGTCTTGCAGATCCTCCTCTGGCGAGACTGTCTGCTATCTCATTACACAAAATTATCCTGTGCCCTGGCACCCAAGATATCATCAGGGTGTTGTGTTTCCCCAGGTTTTGGAGATTTTGGATGCATTCACTGACTAATTTTGATGTAATTCTTTTAGATGCTAATGCTTTAATGGTTGCTTGGCTTTAATGGGTGTTGGTATACTATATGTACACTCCATTCAGGGATTATGGTGTACTTTGTTCAGATACTATTGAATATAGTAAATAAGTCCATTATATTTAGTGGTTTGATTGACCAAATTACTTCTTTCTTGAAATGTTCAAAATGTCCACTTTTTTAATCTGTTAAAGGGCCTAATTTCTTTCAGGAATTAGTGTAATCGAAATTAAATAATCTATTATATCCTGTTTAGAATGATTTACGAAAACACTTTCTAAAAGACGGAGACGTTGCCTCATGTACTCGCATTGATAAATGCACGGTACGTGATATAGAATGGAATTGAACTGGACTGTTCCCTCTGGATAAATTCAACAAGTGGGCATGTCTGGTTATCTCGGAGAAACACTCCTCGCTAAATCCTTTCTATCTTGTTGAACAATTCCGTTATTGATTCAAAATAAACTTTCATCCAGGATTGTAATTAATTTCAGATCCTCGTGTCTGTTTGACTCGCTTTGTCAAAACTTACTTTTAAGTGACGAGGAGAGAGATTAAACGAGGATTAAAATCTTTTGTCTCTCAGTCTTAAGGAATCTTATTTAATTACTTTTTTACTGAATTGAACTACAGGGGTTGTTTCGATCTGATGTAAACCATCAAAATCAGTGCTGGCGTGTTGTTTTATTACTATAATTTTTTTATTATAAGCCTTTATTTGCATCAACATAAATACATTTAACTGATTAAATTATTACATAAAGACAAATTTTTGCCATTGTTTGGTCTATATATCTTCGCTCTTTAGAAATGCAGTCACTGAACATTGAAGATGACGAGAAACCGAAACGCGTCTGACAGAATCCAACAAGGATAGTTTTAATGTTAAAAAGGGTTAAATTATGCACCAAAAAGTGTGAATTAGGAGAAAATACTATACAATTAATAAAAATCTTTATGATGGAGTGAATATATGAATTTAATATACATATAATATAAAGGGTCTNATATTCCATATATTGTACTTTTCAGGTTATTTCAACCGTTTACAACTTTATTCCATAAAATCCGACTTATCACATAAAATGTTAATCATAATGTAAATTCGATTACATCAACAGAAAGAGCATTAAAACCACTACGCTTCTCATTTACTTTGTTTCATTGAATAAGATTTTATGAGCTACGAAGGAATTTATGGTATAAAGTTGTAGAAGGATGAAGTAAATTGAAAAGTAAATATCAGGAACAGGGACTTTTTAGTTCAAGTTGACATGTTGGATAACCTACTGAAATATTGGCCTCTTTGACGGGACACCCTGTGTATTATTGTAAATAAAATTAATATATTCACTATATCATAATCATTTTTATTAATTTAATAGCTTTTTTGTCCAATTAACCATTTTTCGTAACAAATTATTTTTTTAAATTTGATGTTAATCCTTTTTCAATTTCAAATTAGCCATTTTGTAACATTAAAAGGTTTCCGAACATTTTCGTCTGCTTATCCATGCTGGATTCTTCATAACAGCGACGAATCATATAGATTTTTCAGCCCTCTATCCATTAGGGCAATAAAATTTGCATTACATTTAACATATAATGAGATACGAGAGACTTGATGGGTTAAAGTTGAAAAAGTTTAAATAACCTGAAAAGTGCAATATCTCGAATATAAGTGAGTATCAGACTTTGAACAATAGGGACTTTTAGAGCAATTTAGACTCAATCAAAGTATTTGTACTCACTCAGAGTGTTTGTTTTTTTATGTGTAAATGTGTCATTATTGTGTGTCGTGTTGATAGTGCATAGAATTGATGTTATATGTTTACATACGTTGAAGGGGTGTTGAAGGAAGTCGGTACAGAAAACATTTATATATGAGGAGTCGGCTTCTTTGAGGTAAAAGGAGACGACAATGTGAAAGAATGGGTAATGGTTCGGCCTGATTATCCTTTCAGGATTGTATAGAGAGGGATAATTAGGGAAAGGAAAGCAAAAATGTTGAAGAATTAGACTATGTAGAAATGTTTGATGTGTGGAATGTAATGATTGTTTTATATGTTTTGGGTGATGTGATGATGATGTATGTTATTGATATTGAATTTGGTTAATGATATTAGCGTAGCTGCGACTGAGTTTACATGTGTATGTTCTGTAATTGATGCTGTGCTTATACCTGTAGATGGAAAATTACGTTTATGTTTTTGTTCTGTGTGTAATATTTTTGGATTGTTGAAGTCGAAATTGTGTTGGTGTTCAAAATGGTGGGTGCCAGTGCTGTAAGATTTAAACTTAAATTAAATTTTCGAGTTACAGTTGGCTAATATGAGAAAAACTAGGGACGGACAGCATGTCGAATCAAAATTAAAAAACGTTTAATAAATTCGTTCGTCCCGTGAACAGATGTCAATATTTCAATGAGGTTATTTTACATGTCAAATTGCTCTAAAAGTCCCTATTGTTCAAAGTCTGATACTCACTTATATTCGAGATATTGCACTTTTCAGGTTATGTCAACTTTCTCAACTTTAACCCATCAAGTCCCTCGTATCTCATTATATGTTAAATGTAGTGCAAATTTTATTGCCCTAATGGATAGAGGGCTGAATAATCTATGATTCGTCCCTATTATGAACTCCAGCGTGGATAAGCACATGAAAATGTTCGGAAACGTTTTAATTCGACGTTGAAAAAGGGTTAACATTAAATTAAAAATGTTCTGTAATTGATGCTGTGCTTATCCCTGTTGATGTAAACCATTTCTAAAAAGTTACGTTTATGTTTTTGTTCTGTGTGTAATATTTTGGGATTGTTGAAGTCGAAATTGTGTTGGTGTTCAAAATGGTGGGTAGCGAGTGCTGTAGGATTTTGTTTGGATTTTTGGGAGTCATAGATATATTGCTACTCTTTTATCCAGATATTGGGATGTAATTCCGCTGTAAGTTGCAGGACAGTTTAAACAATTGATTTTGTAAATTACGTCAGACTTGTTTGTTACTGGTGTGGGATCTTTAATGTTGGAAAAAAAGTCGAAACGTTGGCACGATAAAGAAAATATTTTTGTAACACCTACATCACACCAGACCGCATCTCAAGATCCCCAAATTGCCTAAAAATTACATTTGGTGTTGGCACTAGAAATATGTAACTCGATTGGAATAGGTTACTTTCAGGTAGTTTTTTGCCGTATTTCCCGTGTTTTCCTCTATGTCCGTAATGGAGAGAATCCTTTAAAATCAGGACCTGCAGAGGCAATAATGGTGTCTATTGATTTTGTAAAGGTGAGAATGTGTGCGGCCGGCCAATCGGGGCTTTTTGGAGGGAGAAACCCTGTCGGGATTGGGCCGGGTTGTTTGAACAACCCTCCCACACCGATCCACCCCCGTCTTCCCACTTCCTCGTCGGACTCCAAATGGTAAGCATACTTTCCACAACATTCAACCCCTACGAGTGTCCCCCGCCGTTGACGAGCTCTCTCTAAAAAAAGTTCTGTAAAATACCAAAAAAATATCTCCCAACTCAAATATCATTTTGGGAAGATAAAAATCTATTTTGTGACGTGTTTTTTTTTCCGCCGAGGTTTTTCCAACCGTATCGCATCTTCTTAATTAAACTCCATGGGCATTCTAGATTATGTACAGGTATTTGATTTTTTTTAAAATTAATAATTGAATTTTGTAACAGCCGACCATCGTATATGAAAACTTTTCAAATTAAATTCCAGACTTCAAAATTATTAAAAAATCTTCTCCAGGTAGATAATATAAATAAATTAAAATATATCCTAGTGTTATTTGTGTTAAAATCATGTGCCAGAAGTAAAATTATGAATTTATCGTGACCCACTGTAACCAGTTAACTGAATTAATTATGTGTGGTTATTAGTGACCGTTAGTCGATGATTATTCGGAAATCGTGAGATGCTGTCTGGTGAGATGTAGGAAGCTTTCGTCGTCTCTTTTCACCTCAAAGAAGCCGACTCCTTATACAAAACTTAGTCTTCCTATACCGACTTCCTTCCCCACCCCTTCAAAATCCAACGTATATAAACATAAAACAGCAATATCTCACTGGCACGCAAGAATGGCACAATCACGCAGAAAACAAACACTTTGAGTGAGTAGAAATACTTTGATTGAATATAAAAAATATTTTTTTGCATTGTATAAATTCACTTTTTTCCACATCCTACATGGGATCTGGGATTTATTTACAAACATTGTTTACATTTAACAAATGTTGGATGTGGAAAAAAGTGAATTTACACAATGCAAAAAAAAAAAATATTTTTTTTATTCAATCAAAGTATTTCTACTCACTCAGTGTTTCACTTTGATTGAATATAAAAAATATTTTTTTGCATTGTAGAAATTCACTTTTTTTCACATCCTACATTTGTTAAATGTAAACAATGTTTGTAAATCCCAGGCCCTGAAGATGATCTCAATAAAGATCGAAACGTTGGCACGATAAAGAAAATGTTTTTCTGAAACCTACATCACACCAGACCGCATCTCACGATTTCCGAATAATCATGAATTAATTATATGTAAAAAATGATATAATAGACCTCTTTATTATTTTACTTTATTGCCTACTATCTAATTATAGTAAATTCAATGCTAATTTTTAGGAAATGAAAGAGTTACCAATTGGGTCTCCATTATCCCCACTTTGTGCCGAAATATTTATGAATAATTTTGAAGAAAAAAATATTTCCAAATGAAACAACAAATTAATTAAAACTGTTCTTTTTGAAAACGCCATGTAGACGATATTTTATGCACATGGTCGGGAATATTAGAGGTTCTCAAAGAATTCCTCCAACTAATTAATTCTTTACACCGTAATATAAATTTTACATTGGAAATTGGCAAAGATGGTTGTTTATACTTTTTAGACCTAAAACTGTCCATATTAAACAACCTAATTGAAATACACGTATATAGAAAGCCCACAACTACAGACACTATGACACCAGCGGATTCTCATCACCCATGGACCCAAAAAGCTGCTGGTTTCATCTGGCTCATAGTCCGTTATGTTAAAACTCCCATTAACACCTGCTAACTATAAAAAAGAATTAGAAACTATTTAAACCTTAGCAAAAAACAATGGGTATCAAGAAATAATTTATTGATGTGTTGCTAGTTAATAGAATAAAAAAATTAACTTTAAAAGAAGCAACTATAGGATTCAGCCACCCCATAAATGAATCATTAGGTTTACGGTATTTTCCCCTACATTGGTGAACCAAAAATGTAGGTAAAATTCTTAAACAATAAGGGTTTAGAATAGCTTTTAGAAGCTACAAGACAAGGTTGACAACTTGGCAAAAAGCGGGGTTTGCCAACTTAATTTTAATGTTTGCGACATTAAATATATAGGACAATGCGGTAGAGAAATTAAAACGAGAGTTAAAGAACACGACAAAATCGAACAAATTTTTGGAATTTAAGGACCATCTAAAAGAAACAAAACACAATTTCAATTTAGATTTAAATACAACAGTGTTACATAGTTTCAACAAAGGGAGGGAACTAGATTAATTTGAGAAATTTGAAATTAAAAAATGTAAAATTGAACATGGAGATAAATAGATCTTATATACACTACTAATTATTGTGTGTCGTGAATAATGACACATCTACACAGAAAACAAATACTTTGAGTCTAAAATTTATAGCATTGTATAACTTCATTTTTTCACATCCTACATGTATTTGTATAATTTAAACAATGTTTATAAATCCCAGGCCCTGAAGATGATCTCATCGAAGATGAAAGATCGAAACGTTGGCAAGGTAAAGAAAATGTTTTTCTAAAACCTACGTCACACCAGACCATATCTCCAAATAATCATTAACTAACGGTCACTAAACACCACATATGCATTAATAATACAGATTTTGAACTATCCCATATTTTAAATAAGTACCTAATAATATTAGATGATGAGCTGTAAGCATGAAATTCGGATCGTTGAGAACAACTAACTGTGAGTAGGAACTATCTTTTTAAAAAGATTGACCAGTTAACTGTGTGCACCGTTTTTATCACCCACAATGCGTTAATCCGGTTCATCCTCTTGTTATAATAATTCTGTCTGTTTTTATGCAGTATATAGCTTAAAATACAGGGTGATTTTTTTTCCCAAGGAGCGGCAAATTATATTTGTCATCGCCAGCCCTTTCTTTCTTAGCTTTGCAATTCTTTTCTTACCTTTTTCGCGTTTTATACCTACTAATTTCGTTTACTGTTTCTCCAGCCCAATTATGATGTCTCACGAAGAAACAGTAATATAGTGTTTAAGTCGTTTCACTCACGCTATTAAATTACATTCGCACGTTCATACTACCCCAGATTACTCGATATTCCTTGGGGGGAACGAGGATAAACCCTGCCATTCGCGCTAATAAATTACAAACACACCGCAAATCATTCACGCTACCTCCGAGTACTCGATATTCCTCGTGGTATTTGGGAGATAAGCCTCTTCACGCAAATAAATACATTCGTACCAATAAATAATACATATAATATACATAAAGGTACAACAATCTAAGTAGAATTTAAAATAATTAATTATAACAAGGTGAATTTAAATTCTATCCTCCATTTTTTTTTCGTTTTTGAGAAAAACCCGGTCAATTTTATTATTTAATTAATTATTATCAATTAATATAATAAATTTGGTTCTTGGTTTTTCGTTTTTCCGAGAAAAACCCCGGTAAATTTTATTATTTAATTAATCATTGCAATTAATTTACTATCAAATAATATGATAAATTTGGTTCTTGGTTTTTCGTTTTTCCGAAAGAAAAAACCCGGCTAATTTTGTTATTTAATTAATTAATACATTTAATTTATTATCAATTAATATAATAAATATGATTATTCAGAAATCGTGAGATGCGGTCTGGTGTGTTGTAGGTTTCAGAAAAACATTTTCTTTATCGTGCCAACGTTCGATCTTTATTGAGATCATCTTCAGGGATTTACAAAAAATATATTTTTTGCTTTGTATAAATTCACTTCTTTCCACATCCTACATGTATATGTTAAATTTAAACAATGTTTGTAAATCCCAGGCCCTGAAGATGATCTCAATAAAGATCGAAACGTTGGCACGATAAAGAAAATGTTTTTCTGACCTACAACACACCAGACCGCATCTCACGATTTCTGAACAATCATCGACTAACGGTCACTAATGACCACACACAATATCATAAATTTGGTTCTTGGTTTTTCGTTTTTCCGAGAAAAAAATAGTCAAAAATAGTGTTTTGCGTATAACTTAAGAACCGTGGCTCCAAATTAAAAACCGTTTGCGCCGGTGAATTCAGCTTCAAAACTACTTTCAAGAAATCGTATATTATGAATATCCTGCCATTTGAAATAATTATGCTTCTATTCGTATCCTGGAATAATGGAAAGTTAGATTAAACGGTTTTCTCATTAGAAACTAGATTTAACAAAGTTAACGTGTCTCGGAGTTTTTTTCTCCAAAAAGACTCCAATAAAAAATAAATAATATAGAGTGAACAAATTTTGGCCATGTTGGCCTGCCTATCCTCGCATTTTTTATATCTTCGACTATCTTTAATGGTCTACCCATCGAAGATGGTAAAATGTCATCGAAAAATAGAAAAAAATCTAGTGAAGGCAGACCGAATTGATCGGAAACGAACAAACCACGTTTTCATCAACCCGCATATCCGGTGAAAGAAATCTCACAAATTATATTTTGTTTTTCCACGCTGTAAAAGTGATTAATATAAACAACCTCAATAAGTTTAAATATATGTTTTAGTTCAGCACATGTTAAACCTGGATGTCGAATGTTTGCTAAATGAGAAAAGTGCATATTCCAGCCTTCAGGCCAGACAGACTGTGTATGATTGATTAATGCTCACAAAAAGTTAATCTTACTCTAAATTTGTTATGTACCAACGGGAAGTGGATTGAAAAATCTAAGTTTTTTACCGGAACTTTTTCGGTTCCGGAACCAACGCAAAATACAAAATCATTAAAAAGAGAAACTTTTTCGAGTTTTCAAAGTTCTTTTCTAAAGTTTCAGCAAGATTTTCCTGTTCTGTAAATACTGACAGATATGACACTTACAAAAAAGTCGCCCCTACTCAGAAATTCGTGAGCTTTAATAATAAAATAATAATAATAATTATGATGGTTTGAGAGAAAGTTCACAAAACACCGGAAAATCATTTATTGAATGAGTAAAATTTAACTAACAATTTTTTAAATCCAGTCTTAATGCGTTTTTATGAGCAAAATCAGGTAATAAACTGTTAAATTCATTCTATCACTGAATTGTATTCCGGTGTTGTGATAAATATTCAGTCAAACCATCATAATTAAATAATTTTGTTTTTAAAACTCACGAATTTTTGATCTCGTTTAATATGGTTCACAATAAAATAAGCATGTAATTAATTATAATGACAAAAATACAGATAGTTTAAAATAACCAACAAAATATACGAGTGCCAGGTTCTTCGGTTCTTTTGTCTTTGAGAATACTCGACGCTACTGGACGAAAATCTGGACAGTGGGGAACTTGGATGCAGCATAGCGTAGAGTGGCGTTGCGTTACGCGAGGCAAATGTGAACGGAGTTTGGAATTTCTATTTTAAAAAAATAATAAAATAATATGTGTAAAGAAAGCAAAACAAACTCTTTGGTACAAGGTTATAATAAAAATTAAAAAACTGGAGTGCCAACCACCATTTTCAATATTAAATTAATTATTCGAAGCTTTTTGTTTTTTCTTATCTTCGATTTTGGACAAAAGAGTCTTTTTTGTTTTGTATTACTTTATTTATTTTTTAAGAATAAGCAAAACGATAGAGAGTAGTAAAATCTGTCAGGAACGATATCGGGATTGCATGCTTAAGAAGATGGACATTTCGAATATTTATTTAATTTGTTAAAGCGTTTTGTTTTTCTTATGTTCAATTGACAACACAATTCACAAAAGACTTTTTTGTTTACTTTTTGATTACTTTCTTTATTTTTTTACGAAAAAACAAAAAGCCTAAGAGGAGTAAAATCTGTCAGGAAAAGATGACAGGGTTGAATCCTTCCAGAATATGGACTTTTGAACATAAAATTTTATTTTTTAAAGGTTTTTATTACTTTCTTATGTTTAATTTTGTGTCAAGGAGTGTTTTTTGTTTAGTTTGTATTACCTTCTTACATTATTTNTTGTGTCTGGGAATGTTTTTGTTTAGTGTGTATTACTTTCTTTTTTAAAGAAAAAACACAAAGCTTATAAGTAGTAAAATCTGTCAGGAAACGATGACAGGCTTAGTTTCATCAAGAAGGGGACTTTTGACCATTTAAATTTTTTTTTTTCTTAAGATCAATTTTGTAACAGTTTTTTTCTAACATTTTATTACTTTCTGTATTTTTCAAGAAAAAACAAAAGGCTTAAGCGTAGTAAAATCTGTCGGAAAACTAAGTTAGGCTTGCAATCTCTGAGAAACTCCACGTATTGACGCCTATTCACGGGACACCTTGTATACAGGAATAATACTAATAACTAATAAGTAATATGAATACAGGAATAAGGATAATAATAATATAATGGTCACGAACAATCTGTCGAACTTCTGGAGCTGCTTCTACGCCAAAAATGTGACAAAGAAGTATCTCTTGACACAATCAGATTCTCAATAATAATGGTGAAATTTCTGGTTTTATGTTTTTTTTTGGTAAAACTCGAGTTTTTTATTAAAAAAATGGGCATATCACTTGAACCTTTGACCCTACAAAATTGAACACACTGCTAAAAAGATACTAAATCTTAATTTAGAAAGCATACCTTATAAAGTTCTTGTTCTATTTTATTTGTAAAAGAAATATAACACATATTTTGACATGTTCATTTGAAAAGATTTCTTTGCAGGGACTTTTCTGTTTAGATAAAAGAGTGTAAACCTCATTCGTTAATACGCTTCCTATCGGTTTAATCAAGTTTGGCATTAGGAATTAAATCGTGGGAGAAGAAATTAGAATTAAGAATTAATAGAGAAGAAAAAGAATAAAAAGCTGGTCCAAGAGTGAAATATTGCATAAGTAAAGAAACAAATTTGTCTTCAGAATAAAATCCCGATGAACTCTTTAGCCATGCGTTCAATTTTCTGGATTCGTCCCGGACCGTGTTTCCCCAACTTTCAACTGAAATTGTCCATCAAAAAATGAAAATAATCCAGGTTTGGAATAGACCGTTCATATGCTCATAAACGTTCACGTTTTTGTCCGGATTGACATTTTTCAAAGTGTAATATACGGAGATACGCTTTAAAGAAGTTGATCCAAAATTATAATTTCGCAAATTTCATGATATTTGTGCAGTTATTTTGTAAGTGGACTGGCAATTTTTAGAACGAAAGTAGACTAATCTAAAAGGAAATTCGGTGCTAAATCTAAAAATGGAGTCAAAAGTTGGGAAAAGTTACTTTAGAGTGGAGAAAATTCAGGTTTTATATAAAGAAACGTGTTTTTCTTAAATAAATACTTAATAAATCGTAAGTTTTGAATGGATGAGATAAAACCATGATGAGGTTTACGGCCTTCTACTCCACTTTAGATGCACTCTCACCGAAAAATGACGAGCTGACAACCCAGTATATACAGAATTGAATTTATGACGTCTTCTCATTCATTGACTAAATCACTATTTTTGGTTTTGGCAGTCCGGGGACAGACCTCGGTCTTATCCATCCCGCCGCCCAAGTTCCATCAACCGCTAGACCATTACAACCCCAAACGCATGCAGTTTTTAAAGTTAAACCCACCTTCAACCATTCTTAAATACATTACCATGTACCACATAAGTAGGGTGGTGGAATCCTCAATGTTTCACCATCGACCGTCACGACAAATTCACGCTCATAAATACATTCAATCTCGATATACATAAAAGGGAACACAAAACGAGATATCTATCGGTACCAATAGCACTGTTTTCTCCAAAAATCAAAACAGGGCTCAAAGATTTGCTGCTGTACCCGAGCACAACTTTCATAACGGATGGACCCACATCGTTGCCATGTTCAAGCACAGATCTCATATGATCGTTACTACAAGCTCTCTATATGGAGCCAAGGAATGACAACCTTCAATTAAGTGGAGCACACTGAGCAACCTGGTTCTGCATGGAGGACTTGCAGCCTGTCCTTAATCAGGTGAAGAAGATCCTTCTATGATTCAGGTCATCAGAGGGTTGCCCATCGACTGTGCACATGATGCATAGGAGCTTGCTTATAGGAGTTATCTGAGTGAAATGTTAAAAGTACTTTTTATGTAAAGGAAAGAATATAAACCTCACAGAAGGTCCATAAATCAAATTTTCTATCTTTTTACTATATTAACTTGCTATTTTCCCAGTTTGATTATTCATTATTTTACCCATTATAACCAGTATTTTAAATAAATTATTAATTAGTTAAAGAATAACCTGGCATTTTTGTTTTGAATATATATGAAATTTGGCTTATTTTTTATGCTTTTATACTTAACATGAAAAAAGTAAAATGATTTCAATCATCACACGAATTTACAATTAACAATTGTAATTTTTCGCAGCCTGTGGTGGGAAAAATGGAGTGGGAAGGTTCTGACAGTCGGCAAGGTAAAAGTGTACAGGATTCTGAGGATGACGTGATGTCAGATGACATATCATTAGTCGACGACTCAGAGGATGAATGTGGCTCTGGCGTTGTCAGGAAAATGTTCACCAACAGCCGTGAAAGGTGGAGACAACAGAACGTAAGCGGGGCATTTAGCGAACTGCGAAAGCTTGTTCCAACTTACCCAGCTGACAAGAAATTATCCAAACATGAAATCCTTCGAATGGCAATAAGGTAAAAAAATGGAATGAGTAATATCTATCTACAGATTTTACTGAAAATGTTTTCAGATATATTAAATTACTCACGGGGGTGTTGGCATGGCAGCAGCATCAGCATATCCACTCGACAAACAACAACAACAATTGTCTGAATCAAAACTGCAATTATGCTGAACAGACCCTGCAAAGTCTTGTCATAATAGCACCGAGTGAAACCAAATTTCCTTTCAACAGCTAAAGCATCATGGTTACAAACTTAAACTTATGCTAATAATTGTTATTCATCTTAACGAAAAAAATTAATTATATTTTATATATATTTGTATATATGCAACAAATTTTTGTTGCCGAAATCTTTGTTTACAATTTAATTATTTTGCCATGGCTTAATGCGCAGTAAGTGTCTTTAATTAATTGAATTGTAATAAATGTTGCATTAGCACTTGATTATGATTTGTGACCATTTTGTGTTGAATTAACTTAAAGTGACCAAAAGCAATAACCGTCCTAGGGTTTAATAATAAATTAATTAATTTTAATAAGTGTTTTTATTATGTTATTAAGCTACAAACCAGAACTTTTGATTTTTTTAACACTACAGTCATTTTTAGCAATAAGTATCACTTTACTACACACTCCATAAAAACCAGTTTTTATTTAATTTAATTTTTTTTTTTAAATAAAGGTCCATTATTGTTCAAATATTTAAAATGTATGCTGTATGTGTAAAATAAATAATAAACACTAATTATATTCAATCAAATCACTCAAAATAGAGAAAATGTTGATGTAAACATATATTTTCCAACATACTGTCTGTAGGAGGGCAAAACAAGAATAATAAATAAACACCTGAAAGTAAAAAATGACAAATTTGGATAAAAGATCAATATGTCATTTTATTTAAACAAATATGACAAAGTGTGTCGGCTAAAAAAGTATTATTTAAAAATTGAAATATATTAGAATTAATGTACATGTTATATTATGATGTGATAAATAAATTAGCTTATGCAGCGATAAAAATGTATAACAAATTTACATAATAATTATATGTGAAAAAATGATCTTATCAATAATTTTAAAATACAATAATGATAATTATGTAGATTAAATATTTCTATTAATACCATGTTTACTGAATTGTTATTCCTCTGTTCACTATATGTTTCCCTTCCTTTTTTACCATTCTAAAAATAGAACAAGTTTCAATTTTTTTTATCCCTCTAGTGGCAAAAGTAAATTGTGTACTCACGTTATGCAATCTATTATTGGACAGACTGCAAGGCACAACGAGCAACCTGTGCAATTATCGGTTATGACTGGAAGATGAGTTTCTCCATCGAAATCAATTGCTTGATAGCCTGAATCATTACACGCCATGTAACACTTTCCGCAATTGATGCACATGTCCTGCAGCAAAGATAATTAATACAAAAAAAACTATTGTGAAAACAAACTACTGTTAAAGTAGTCAGTCATTATGTAAGATCATAAAGTGGAAAACATAAGAAGGCTATTGGCTTGAGAGAATGAGCAATGTCATTTATGAAAATTAAGAAAAGTAGAGGGCCAAGGATAGAACCTTGAGGTACACCTGACAAAGGTAAGAAAGAGTCAGAAAGTTTATGAACTTTTACACATGTTCTGCGAATAACTTCTGATCCAATGACGTATTGATCCATGAAAATCATATAAAATAACCTTATGAATTAATAAGAAAAGATTCAACTTATCAAAAGCCTTACTAAAGTCTATATATAGCTTTTTCTGACGACTTAACCCTTTTTTAACTTCATATTAACCTTTCTTAATTTGAAAGTAACCCTTTCTTTAATGCATTAAAAAAATCAGAGATGGTAGGAAGTACAAAAATTAAAATAAAAAAAAGATTAATTGAAAGTTGGAAAGTGATAATTTGAAGTCAAAAAGGGTTAATTTGACCAAAATATCTACATATAGTCAATCTGAACTTCCAACTAACAAGACAGAAATGTACGAGCTTACATCATTAATAAGAGCCACAACTTGTGCATTATTATCCAAAGATTTGTAGTTGGTTATGAACTGAAGTGATGATGCTATAATATCCTGAATTTTGGGCACATCAGATATTTTCTTATTGATATTACGTTTACGAACAGGTGGTAGCTCATTAGTTTTCTTCTTTAAATCGGCAATCTTTTCTTTTCGAATTTCATTATACTTTCCAAAATATGGCAGTATCTAAAATTTCAATTTTTATCAGTATGTAGTGACAGTTTTTTCATCAAAACAGTCAACAATTATTCTACCTTTCCATCATCGCTCTTAATGTTCAAAATATCCTTTCCTTTTTGGTGAATGGGTGTTGGTGGAGACTGTCCATTCCACGAGCTTACGTTTTCCAAACTGTTAAGGTAAATGAGTGCTTTAAGTCCGGTGATATAGTCGTCAATGACAGTGAAATCTTGATTCTGTACGGCACTACAGACCTGCAATAAAATGGTTACGACTGTAAGTGTATTACATTTTTATTCTTTGGATTACCTGAATGACTGTAGCACCAACTCTAAGAAATTGTAATGCAACATCAGCCGAGTCAATGCCACCGATGCCCATTATTGCTAGCCCAGGGACCTTTTGGGCAATAGCAGATACACCTCTCAGACCTAGAGAACGGGTGACGCTTCCTGACACACCTCCGTAGGTTGTCTGCTTTTGTTTTCCAATGTACGGCCAGGGGATACCATCGCTTCTTAAATTCATAATACCAGCTACAGTATTGATGGCTGACACACCATCTGCTTTGCCTGAATATCAACAAAAGTAATAAATTTACAAATAAAAAGTTGGTAAGAGTGTCAATTGACAAACCTTCATAAGCAGCCTTAGCTAATTCTACAATGTCTGTGGTGTTAGGCGTCAGCTTTATAAAGACAGGAATTTTAACAGCTGATTTCACCCAGAGGGCAATTTGTCGAATAAGTTTTGGATCCTAATGTTTAAAAAAACTTATACTACAATACATAAATCAATATTTTATTAAGTTCAAACTTATACATTAAGCCTTATACATTAATAGTAAAACGATTAAAGATTGGCAGAGTAAAATAGTGTAATATTGATCCATAAATATCTTACTTGTCCACAAGCTAAACCCATTCCTGATTCTCCCATTCCATGTGGGCAGGATAGATTTAACTCCAAAGCATCTGATCCTGCGTCCTCTGCTCTTCTTGCTATTTCCAACCAATCTTTTTCGTTGTAACTGCACATAATGCTAGCTATAAGCACCTTAAATTGAGCAATCATTATTTTTATTAATTATCTATAGAATGGTGCATGAATCAGCCTAAAAACAAACCTTTGTAGGAAAATCTCTTTTCAGTTCTGTTATTGATTTGCACCAGTATTCACAAGTTTTTTCAGATATAAGTTCAATGTTGAGAAAGGAATTTTGTCCAGGTCCAAATTCATTACCTGATGTTCCCCTTACAATCCTCGGGGAAACATTGGTGACTAAATCCTAAAAATAAAACCAAAAGACTTTCAGCTTTAAAGCTAATTATTGAAAAAGAAATATATAGGCAAAAAATATGTGTGAACTTGTTAGCTTATATGAGCATATACCAAAATTGTGGTTATTAAAAAAACGGAGTTTTTTTTATTGTTTGTTCATATTTTAAAAAATTAAGGTTAAATCTGAATGCTCAGAAACTTATGTAGATAGACTTTTCTAGCCTACTTCTGGTTTTGGCAGATCAAACCTCAGACTTATCATCAAAGTTACATTCCAGGGGTTGTTAACAGCTAGGTTATTTTAGCCACAAAGCATGCACTTTTTAAACCTTGGCACACTCATGCGCTCTTACATTCATTCTTATTTACATAAAGTATTCCTTCATCATCCTTCACACATATTACATAACTAAGGTAATTGAGTAATTGAGGGTTGGTTGTGCCCTAAATATTTTACCAATTGCCCTCTTACACTACACATTCATGATAATAAATTCATTCACTCTCAATATACTCAAAGGAAAGACGATACGAGATATTTTCCAGTACTATATACAATAAAATAGTCCTGTTTCTTCCAAAAATCAGAACAGGGAGCTCAAATACTCACTGCACAAGCAGAATTCTCAAATTGCGTGGCATTCCTCCACACTCTCTATATGGAACTAAGGAAACTACAATTATATGTGACAAATTGAGCAACATTTTTCTATATTCCAGACAATACTTAGGATTTGTGACAAAAGTAACAGATTAAAAGGATCATTGTGTCAACATCGAAAGGCTATTTTTCAGTCTCTTCTTCGATTCAGGCTATCCAAGGCCATCAACCGACCAAGCTCTTAATACATGAGAGCTTCTGGCCCACTTTCCTTTATTTTTAATATGTTTTTAATTCTATATTGTTTGTATTTTATTTTTGTTGGATTGTGGTCCCAGTTTTAGCCACCTCATCCACCTTTTCGGTACCGTTCAGACCTTGTCTATGGATGCAAACTACTACCGAGACACTCCTATTCTTTGAATCTCTCCAACAAAAACGTAATAATAGGGTTCACAAATATAATGCAAATATTATTGTATAAAAGAAATGTATTTCAAAATATTCACCTTCTCAAGAGAAAATGTTTTGGTCACAGCAAAACCCCATCCCGCTTCAAAAGCTCTACGGATCATTGCACTTGAGGTAGTCGGCGGTGCTGAAGCTAATCCAAAGGGATTTTCAAATTTGATTCCACACATGTTTACAGATAAATCGACCTCGTCTATTGGTGTATAAAATTTGGGCAATTTTGGAATTTCCCCAACATCCAGTCCATTTTTAGCCTGTATATACATATAAAAAAAATATGGTTAATTCATCTAATTTTATGCACTCATTTTTTCCACTGTTTTATAATATAGAGTCATGAAGTAATAGACAGTCATGGTGTCACTGTCGGGAGATGTCCTAAAGAGAAATTTTTATCATCTCATCTTTATGATCTGTGTGTATATGTGAATGTACATAATTCACATGATTTAATAGTATATTTTGTATATATATATGAATTGAGTATTTATGCTATGCTACCTAATAAAAATTTGTAATCTAATCTGGCCTTCTTGGTGGTTTCTCTGAACAGACCGTAGGACAATTCAAGGTCCTTGTCCTTTATTTAGAATATTTTGTAAGTAAAGTAGGGTTAAATATATAGAAAATGAATCTTCCATGCTGGTGCACCTGTTACTGTTTTTTCTCCTCAGGGAACTGGTGTTTTTGAAAAAAAAAAACAAAAAAAAAAACATTTGTATGTTGGGTTCGAATGCAGGGCCACTGGATTCAAATCTGGGACCTTTACCTGCCACCGACGCCCCTCCCCCATTTTGTATATTGTACATACTTACAGTATGACAATCTCAATTAACTATTAACTACTTTCATAAAAAAAACTTTTATAAATTAATTTATTTCAGCACCTGTAAATATCTGTGCATATACCACGATGCTGTTTTTCCATCGTTAACTGATTCAACAGTAGTTTCTGAATAACCAGCTACATCACCTCCGCAGAAAACATTTGGCAAACTAGTAGTCATAGTAAGAGGGTCTATTTTGGGCAAATTATCATTTGTCAATTTTAGCGGTTTAAGCGCATCAATTACTGAAATCATTAAATTTAAAAGTTTGCATGTTAGATTTTTTTTAAAATCTGATGTCTCAAAAGTGTAAAACAATAATTTTCACATTACCATCTTTATCTAAAAGAGCAGATCCAAAAGCTGATATGACATATTCAGCTTTGAGCTTTACAATTTGTTCTGGGTCTTCAAACCATGAGCCATCATCACATTCTTCAGTTCGGCAGAATTCCATACCAGTGATATGTCCGTTCTTTACACTAACTGCCTTAGGAACCATGAAAGGCATAAACTCACATTTTTCTTCTTTGGCAAGCTCCACCTGTAAATTACCTAATATAAGTCAACAGATACCAGTTTTCTTGACATCCAGAAAGTTTTTTTTCCCAATATTCTGATTTAGAATAGTTACAGAACCCCAATTTATAATTAATCCTTAGTAAAATTATAAATAAGTTTTGCTAGCATTTACCTCTTCTGGTACAGCACGGATTTTTGTAAACCCTTTTCGAAATACAATAAATACTCTTTTTGCTCCACACCTTAATGCTGATGTTGCACAATCGAATGCTGTATCTCCTGCACCGAGTACTATTACATTGCCGTTCAATTTTGGAATTTCTCGTTTACAAGCACACATTCCTGAAAACCTTATTATAATGAAAACTATGTATGAAATTATTGTGGTTTCCATAATATATAAATCTGTGTTCACTATATCTCTTATAAAATTATGGATAATCCGGCTCAATATAATGGAATAAAGAGTGAGGAGTCTTAGTCAGTAGGGTTAGGGTCAATTGACAGATTGGTGACAGGAAATTAAATGGTATATAGAATGGGACCAAGAATGCTCCATTGTGGGATGCTGGTTTGTACTGGTCTGCTATCTGACTCATGTCACACCTCACTTTGAAGCAGTGGTCAGGTAAATTGTATTCCAGGATAAGATAATAAGGGGTGGGAGGAAGCTTAGGCAGAAAGGTTAGGATGAATTGATAAATTGGTGTTGGGATGTACAGGAAATTAAATGGTATACAGGATGGGACCAAGAATGCTCCCTTGTGGGATGCTGGTGTGTACTGGTCTGATATGGACTTGTCACTACTAACTTTGAAGCAGTGGTCAGTTGAATAGGATTCCAAGATAAGATGATAAGGGGTGGGAAGCCGCTTGGGCAGTAAGGTTAGGACGGATTAATAAATTGGTATTGGGATATATAGAAAATTAAATGGTATACGATAGGACCAAGAATGCTTCCTTGTGAGACGCTGGTTTGTGCTGGTCTGATATCTGACTTGATGACACATCTTACTTTGAAGGAGCAGTCAGTTAAATAGGATAAGGTAATAAGGAGATGGTAGAAAGTGTTTAAGTTTATAGAAACCCAAGCAATACTCCTTGTACCATAGAGCGGAGTAAATGACCTTGCTAGATCATGGAAATATGGAGCCAGTAGCCCAATTAGGGAGATTACGAAGAAGGAATGAATATAGAATGTGTACTTTATTTTTTCAGAGGAGTATTTAGAGTATTTTAGGCAGGAAGAAAGTTGACAAGGAATACTTTCATAAGAGAGGAAAGAGAGTTGTACATAAGATCAGAAAATATTTAATATTTAAAAATAATCATATGAAAATTGTTACGCTTTGAAAAGTGCAACCCACAATAAAGTATTCTGTAAGAAAGTATGAATCTTTTTTGGGCTTTGTTTTATTTATTTATTTTTCTTTATCTTCTAAATTTTACTTAGCAAGTAATTTTTCATTAATATTCATATAACACACCAGGTTTACTCCCTTCAGATACTAAAGACAAAAATATTTTAGAGTTAAAATAACCCATGTCTTTCGTCAAATTTTCAAATATGGGAATCGTCTTAGGCTCTGGTAATCCAATGCCTATAAAAATAGCATCATATTTATTTTTGATCAAGCCCTAAAAACAAATAAACATTGCAATATTATTTTAATTGTAGGCAATTGTTCTCATTTGAATTACTTCAATAGTTAAATCATGGATGCTCAGTGAGCGATTGTATTCAATTTTCACTCCTAAATCCTGGACTAAATCGACTTCAAATTGTACTATATCAAAGGGCAGTCTGAATTCTGGAATCTCAGAAGTACTAAAAATAACATAACAAAAATTCATTTATTATAATAGTATTGTTAATTTAAGGTAAAATTCATTGAACAATCACTTTCACACCTGAGCCCACCAATGTAGGAGTGTTTTTCAAACACTGTAACATCGACATAGCCCAATCTCGCTAAAAATGTTGCACAAGATAGTGATGCCGGGCCTCCACCAATCAAAGCAATTTTAGAATACTTGGCTTCGTGTTCTATCCCAGGTGGTAAAGTCTGCGGGACTCCCATTTTTTTAAATATCTGGAATATATCAACCATCCATTATCCCCATGATTGAATCAATTAAGACAATTACCAACCTCGGTGGCAAATTGTTGAAGTCCGCCGATGTTTATCGGCCCCTCTTCGCTTGCTTGCAGATTACACCCTCCGACGCATAAGTCACTGGTTGGGCAAACCATACCACAAGTAATACCAAGTGGATTATCAGAAAAAATTGCTTTTGCTGCTCCATAGTAATTCTATTAGATAATTTTTTTAAAAATATTATTTTACACCCAGAGTAGATTTAACTGTTGAATACATACTTTATTAGCAATACTGGTAATGAAAGATTTGATATCTAGTTGCGTTGGACAAGACTTTTGACAAGGGGCGTCTGCACATTTAAGACATCTACTGGCTTCTTTTAAAGCACCTCTTTCACTGAGAGTGGTGTGTTTTATGTCATCAAAGTTATTTTCAAGACACGGCTTCAGTAATAATAAAAATAGAGAATACCATTCAAAAATTTTCCTTAATCGCTAATAAATATTTAAAAAGACTTTAAAAAACACTTACAGTTGAACAATTTTTGTTTTCATTTCTTTTCCAGTGCTGCTTTATTTGTTTAGTTTTTATTGAAGGAACAAGAGATGCTGTTGGCTGAATTTTAGGGTTTAGAGACAAGATATTCTGAAACATAATTTGAACTATAAATTAAATTTATATTAATTCATATATGTGTGGTGATTAGTGACCGTTAATCGATATTTATTTAGAAATCGTGAGATGCAATCTGGTATTAATTCATATAGCTTTTTAGCAATTAACACAGCTTCAGACGAGACAGAAATACAAAATACATTTGAGCAAGTTGCAAGGCTGTCACAAAATAATTAAAGGCGAGTACCAGGAAAAAAGCACAATTGCTGTTTGAGGGCTTCAAAGCGGCATTTGACAGAGCCTGGAGAAACAAGTTGCTTTGCAAACTAATCAAGAAGGGTTCAGAAATGTCTTTTTCTTCCTTTTTCATAGGTTTATAAGGGGTAAACACAGTATTACCTTTAAGGCAAACTAGGGATTGTCACAAGATGCAGTTTTGAGCCCGTTACGTGCTAACATTATGATGGAAGACTAATTACAGTTGATGTCTGTACAGGGCTCCTTTCCTTCCTTGGGCAACCAACTCCATAGTTAAAGCCTTTTAGTGGCTGGGGTCTTCCATCATAATGTTAAAAAGTAATGAGCTCAAAACTGAGCCTTGCAGTAATCCCAGGTTTGTCTGAAAGGTGAGGCTGTGTTTCTGTATGGTCCAGTAATATTTTCATATCATAATAATAAATATTTGAAAGAGAAATTAAAGAAAAGACACTTCTGTATAATCTGACAATAACACCCTTGTCGATTAGTTTCTGTGGTAACTGCCTATGGTTAACTTTCCACAAGGTGTCACCACTGCTTCAACAGTGGTTTCACCTTCCAGGCAGCAGCAGTTGCTCAACCTGCTTAAGGCACACTTGTCAATGACATCTCATCTTTCATTAATGGAACATACATCAAACACTAACGTCAGCATCAAGGGTACTCATAACAGCAGTCATTGCACTATCGATAGCCCATGCGGCGGCCAGCATGATTAGTAAAATCACCTACATCATTCCAACAGCTCCTCTCAACACTGGACTTTCTAAAGGCCACCAATAATTAATTTCAATTGAAGTCTGTACTGGGCATACTATTTTTTATCTGCATTAACCAGCTTCAACATTAAATCATTTGTCTTTTTGGTGTCCTTAGAAGGGCCAGTGTTGCGAGGAGCTGTTGAAGTCTGATGACTGCTGTAGATGAGCCGGATTATGTTCTGGCGCAGGTAGCCACATTGGCTGAGTGCTATTGAGAGTACCCTTGCTATCAAGGCTAGTGTTTAAAGTTTGCTCCATTAGTCAGTAATGAGAGGAGCACCAGTATGCTCTAAACAGGTGGAGCTCCTGCTTATGTACAGGGATGCAGCAAGCTTATTGGCTGCTGCATGGAAGGCGGAACCATTATTAAAACAGTCACGATGAAAAATAGCGTTGAGAGTCGCAACTAAGAAAAACTCAAATAAAAAAATATCTGATATGAATAAAATGTTTGCGTACCTATTAAAATCGCAGTTTCAGTTGTTTACAATGTCGACAAAAAGACACAAGGTCAATCTGAGTAATGATGTTCTATTGCACGCACTGACGAAGCTACATACCTCATCTGCACTAAGCTTGTTGCAAACTGACCAAGATTTGGCAACAATGAGACCTCTAAAGAGACTACCCAAGATGTGTGAGATTGTGAGATGAAAAGTCCGACCTTTTAAAATACTGATCAGAGGTGATACTGATCTATCACAACTTCTGACTATCCTGCGAAAGGTGGATACTGTACAGAATTGTGCACTCTGACTCAATGTACAAAGCACTATGTCCACTCCAACTATGGTTGAAACTATAGAACTAGCAATGAAAAGCTTAGCTTCAGCTTTCCACGAAAGGTTCATTGGGCTTGGACCTTCCTTATTAGGTTAATCTAATTTACTTAAAACACAGACATTCGTATCTGAATCTTTAGTTATGAGGAGACTTGGCATTGAAGCGTCAAGATTTTCCCTCACGGATGGTTTAACAGTCTGTCTGGATCTGGCGAAGCTAATAACTAAGAAAAACACTAACGAACTCAATACAATAACACTGAAGACCCTTGCTCTTTGTTACTCAGCAAACCACCGGCTCCACGTATACACAGATTCATTTGCAATGCATGCAGCGTCTGTATCTTGCAGTTTGAGGCGACTCTCAAGATGTGCTCAGCGGAATAACATGTCATGAATTCTCGAAATGCCAAAATTAAGCAAAGAAACCGAGATGTTGAGTTCCTTGACACTAACGGGCCAACCAAACACATCAATACACCGAGAAGCTAAACGGATAATAAAGCTTGAATAGGGATATGAAGCAGCTACATCACATGGAAGAAAAGCAATGAGGAAGTAGTCTGAACGATTGGGTGTCTACTAGTCTTCCCAGAGAACAGTTTATGACATGTTTCAGATTAAAAACTGTCCATGATTATCTGACAAAACATATAAAACTGCACTAGACGATGTTAGGCCTAAAAGATCAGCGAGAAAGCTATAATGGACTATAGTCGAATTTGGCAGCGTTCTTGCGTAATTAAAATTAAAAAAATAATAATAAAGAGAACAGTCCAGAGCCAGTAAAGTATCAATTTTCCACCAATCCAGGAAATCCAGAAATCCCAAAGGGAACTTAGAGCAAAGAATGTCTCGGTTGTATTCATTGTATTCATGAGACGTTCCACGATCTCTTGAATAATTCCACTTTTTCATTTTGTTCTTATTTATTATTTTTAGCCGGTACTGCATGACCAAGAAAAAATGTAAGTGATGACTGTAGCTATACATGGCTTTATATCTATATTTAATTTTCACATGATAAATGGAAGCTTATAAGTTATACCGGATTTTTACAATTTCTAAATTAAGGCGAAGTCCCTTTAAACTTTAAATCGCCTTTTCAAGAAACCCGTTGTTACCAGTCCGTGTGTTTTCCGGCCAAGGAAAGTAATAAAAAACCGGTTTGTCGAAGGTCGGGGGAGTGTCCATGGTAGAGCTATTGTGTTACAATGTACAAAGTATTACGCGATAATTGATTTTACAAAATTTCAACTCGATTTGATCCTGGGAATTTCGTCGGTTATATAATCATTCTCACTTGGAGTGTCAAATTTAAAAGTGAAGTATTAAATCAACAATCTCTGTGATTAATGATTTTAACATGCTTATCTCCTATGGAACCTGGAAGAACCCATAAATTATAAGTAGTATTAAAAAAACCACAACTCTTATCTGATTAATTACATATTTTATAACCTAGCAATCAAATGTAAAAAAAAATAGGTCTGTAATTTTCCTAAATGTGTCGTGTTATTTTATATGTTTCCGTTTTATATTACAGGTTAACAACAGTAGACGATTAAATCCCAGCTTTAGAAATATTTGTTGCATTTTGCCTAAAATCCTAATGTTTTTGATCGAATTGAAAGTACTTTTAATTCGACGAAGTCGGCATGATTGTTATAACCAAGGTGCTGCGGGTTCATATCCAAGTCCCAAAACTTTGAGCAATGTAAATGAGTTCGTGTCAGTCGAGTAGTGCAATAAAGGAAAAAAGTAAAGTGATCTTTTAATTAAGACGTAAGTAAAGATTCAAGGCAGATTAAAAAAAATCGATGTAAGGTCTGTAATTTTTCTAGATCTTCAGGTTTAACATAACTTATTGATCTTTAAATCTTTGCAAATGACAGATTAGACATCCGTTTTTACTAATAATAACAACAACAGCCATAATAATAATAAATCTTTATTACAGGAAAAAGAATACAATTGTACATTAAAGAAAATATAACAAAAAGTGTCCGATCATACTCTTGGTATACCATAGGCCATACTCTGTCACCATACTAATTCTTTATACCTATAGCTTTTTCAGTCATATTAACCCATTTTAACTTCATATTAAACTTTTAATTTCAAATTAACCTTTTTAACTTCAAATGAACCTTTTTTAACCTCAAATTAACCCTTTTTAACATCAAATAACCTTTTTAAATTCATATTACTTTTAACTGCAAATTAACCCTTTCCTTAAAGCATTAAAACACTTTGGAAATGGTATGAAATAATAAGCGTGCAATGTAAATTGCCTGTATGTTTAAGAATTTTCATTGAGCTCTTAAAAGAATAGCATGCGAGAAAAGATAGGTTCTTTCGGACCTACTCCGACTACTGCTTTCTGACTGCGGGAGTACCGCAGGGCAGAGTACTCGGACCAATCCTTTATACTGCAGATTTTCCCATTAAACCTTCCACACTCCTTGGATCTTTTGCCTATGACACAACTGTTCTATCCTCAAACCCCGATCCTGCGGTTGCTTCGGAATATCCACAGGGCCATATCACATGCATAGGAGATTGGTGTAACCAGGGCTTCCCAACTATGGACTAACCTCGAAAAAAATTAATTTTACAAAATTAAAGTACAATGAATAAATACAATTAATGGAACTAATTACAATGCGTACTGAAAATGAAAGTATTTTATTTTCGTTTATTCATTCTGCATTTATTTTTGCGCACTTAAACAAAATAGGAAAGGCAAGTGAGACGGAAGGGACTAGACTGGACAGTTGTTCGATTTCCTAGAAATTTAATTGTTGATTCTTGATCCAATTCGTGGCTGGCTCAAATTCTATAAGTATCCGAATAGGTGCAGGTCAAATAACCAGTGGAAATGGAATGTCTAAAAACCGTTAGTACCACGACATCTACTTATATTTGGGATTTATAGAGGATGATGAGTGTAAAGTTCAGTATGCGTTTCAATGAAAACAAACACAATGATGAACACAAAACATCGGACAAACATCTTCGAAACAATCCGGTCAAATATTCCGTTTGTTGTACGATTTGTTTACAACTAACGAAATTCTTTGGTCTAATTGCAGAGATGGTACAAAAGCAATGACTGGCCAAACGATCGGAATGATTACTAAAATAAAATTTATTTTTATTAGGTTTCGTGGTCCGTTTGACCAAATAAATTCTTTTCAATTAATTAAGGTTTTGGTTGAGATAAAAA